ACAGCACGCAGTAAAGCTATTAACTGGATCCAGTGATTTACTGGATTCACAAACTCTCAACTGTCAAGCCCGAACCACTGAGGCAATGGAATCCCCTCAGTTTATCTAGCCACGGTTACAACATGCATGTTGTACACAAACACACAACATGCTAGGTGTCCTCACCCTACACTTCTCCACTTGCTCTGCTCCTCCTCAGCCACCTCAGACACAGGTAGAGCCTCCCCTCCCACACCGTGGGTACCCTCACTCACTCGCTCCCCCTTTCATATAGCCAAGTCCACCAAGCCACTCACTCACACAATTACCAACCACACTAACAATGTCCGGACACCGCAAGCACACAGTAGTAGCAATAAGGTCCGGATTCACTCGGCTCACCCCAGAGCTGCTAGCGGTTGTGCAGTGGAGCAGTGAACCCCTCCCCAGTCACTCTATCGACCAGGGGACCCCTCTGCCAGCAAAACCTCAAACTTTTACTCACACAGGGATGAGGCTGTGCACTCAGGTCTCTGAAGAGCCCTATTGCTTTCCCCCACAGGGCCCTTCTAAGGACACATACTGTGTTATCTGCACACCACAGGCCATTGTTTGACTCCGCAGGGATGAAATGCAGACGGAAAATCAAACCCCCACAATTCCTATAACGATTTGTATGGATGATATGTTTATTACAGTGCTGGACACATGTGAGGGATCTTTCCCCTTCAGAGGACATGTGCGCCCCTGAGAATCCCGATCCCTTAAATAATTTACATATGCATAGATTTTCACAATAGGTTCATGCATATTCATTCTGCTGATTTCATGTTTCACTTACAGCTAGTTACACTTGTACTCATTTTTTGTCAGAAAGTACAGAAAGAACTCCTGGGTCACTCTGCGCTGTCTGTTTCAAGGTCCAAGGAGTCTTCCTTATCTCTTTAGCTTGGAAACTTGCATTCTTTCTCCTCAGCTGGGGCAATTTGCTAGTGCTGCAGTTACCAGACTAAACAGCATGTTTTACTTATGTTAGCAAGCTCAAAGCAGCACATTTCACCTAAATCCAAATGGATTTCTATCGTCTGAGGGGGCAAGCTGAAGCACGGAGCTCCTCCAGGGAAGATCCTGGGTTGTGCCTAGGAGGTTCACCCCCTGCCTTGCTCCTGCGGGGACAGAAACTCTCCTGGCTGGCTCTCCACAAATTTTTTGCAGAAAAATCTCCACAACTTGCAAAGGTTGTAAAGCTGGTATGATTTATTTTAGCGCTGGATGCATGTTCCCCATGCATACCCCTGAAAAGTTTTGAGTCTACTTTATCCCCTAACCTGTTGCATATACATAAAACATATATGCATATGTATTAAACTGTCTTATTAATTTTTATGAGCCTGTGCACTTATTCAGTCACGTAGTTGTAATGTAGTGTTTAACCCAGATTCAGTTTTTCCATCTGCTTCAGCCTCAAGGTTGGTGGGGCCTTTTCTTATTTCTCTTCAGCTTGGATGCTTGCATTCCTTTTTAAGTAACCTTGAATCTCCTTTGTTCTCTCTGCAGGCATTTTTGTGAGCACACAAGTTAATAGACCAAACAAGCAGATTCCAGCTAAATCCAAAATTGGTTTCTACTCCAAGTTAAATTTCCAATGCCCTGTTTCAGTGCCCAGCATAGGGGTGATCATCCAGAGGGTCTCACCAGTCTGTCTGTGCTGGCCAGGTTTGGGATGAGCAGGCTGGTGACTGTCCCTGTGTTTGCTCCACAGGATGAAGAAGCCAACCATGCTGAGGAGGGATTTGAGCATGTGTGGGAGGATGGAGACAGTGGTCACCAAAACCTGGGGAAGGCAGAGGTTGCCTTCCAAGGAGAGGGACGTGTCTATCCTGTTAAAATTCAGGCTGTGAGACCAAAGGAAAAAAAAGGTTTGATTCAAATTTCTTACTCGGGTTCTAATATGCCATTGAAGAGATTTCTAAAATACTCATTATCCATGATGGGACCTCAGAAAAACAGGAATTGAAGCTTTCCAAAGTGGCTTGTACCTTCCTGCAAGTATCCACATGCAGCTGCCAATTCATGTTTTTGAGTGGAGCTGTGATAAGGCCACATGGAACTGGACCAGAATGGTGGCCAATTTTCATGGGGAAAAAAACCTCCTACCCCCAGTGTCTCGGGGTCAGGTGAGAGGTGTCTTTGAAGCTCCAAGGGCAGTGAGAATTCTAGTTGCTGGCAGCTTTGGCTTCAGAAAAATCCTGTGAAATAGGCAAATTTAGGAGGCAGCAGCCCACTGTCAGCCAGTGAGACTCAGTGAGAACAGTGGGTATTTTCCATGGGAAAAAAAAACCTCATTCCCCCAGTGTCTCAGGGTCAGCTCAGAGAAGGTGTTTGGGGCTCCAAGGGCAAACAGCATCTTAATTGCTGGCAGCTTTGTTCCGGAAAAAAATCCTGAAACAATTGTGAATTTAGGGGGCAGCACCTCCCATTAGGCCAAAGTGACTGGATATGAATGGTGGATATTTTCTGTGAGAAAAAAACCCTTGTTCCCCCAGTGTCTCAGGGTCAGCTCAGAGGTGGCATTTGGGGCTCCAAGGGCAGAGTCCTTGTTGCTAGCAGCTTTTGTCTTGGAGAAATCCTGTGGTGTTAGGAGGTGGCACCCCTCTGGTCCAAGACACGACTGGACATGAATAATTGCCATTTTCCATAGGGAAAAAAACTTGTTCCCCCAGTGTCCTGGGGTCAAGTAAGAGGTGGCATTTTGGGCTCCAAGAGTAGTTAGTCTGCCAGTTGGAAGCACCTTCTGTCTTGGAGAACTTGTGCGAGATTTGCGATTTTAGGAGGCTGCACCCCAATGTTGTCCAGGATGCAAACAATGGCCATTCTCCATAGGAAAAAGAACTTGTTCCCCCAGTGTTCTGGGGTCACTGGGGTCAGGTCAGTGGTGGCATGTGAGGCTCCAAGGGCAGTCAGAGTCCTAGTTGCTAGGAGCTTTTGTCTTGGAGAAATCCTGTGATGATTGCAGTTTTAGGAGGCGGCACCCCACTACTGCCAAGGTGCGACTGGACATGGTTAGTGGCCACTTTCCACAGGAAAAACAGCTTGTTCCCCAGTGTCCTGGGGTCATGTAAGAGGTGAAATCTGGGGCTTCACTGGCAGCCAGAGTCCTATTTGCTGGCAGCTTTGTTCTGGGTAATGTCCTGTAAACTGTATGAGTTTAGGAGTGATTTAAAGACATGTACATGTAGTGCTTGGGGACATAGGACAGTGGTGGCCTTGGCACCGCCAGGCACTGTGATCTCAGAAGGCTCCTCCGACCTGAATGATTCTGTGATTCCAAGGACACTCTGTGTACAGCCAGCAGAGACATACCTGTGCCTGCTGCAAGCATCATTTCACTTCCTCTCCTTCACTTGGCTGCCAAGTATTCCCTGGCAACAGAGAGCATGGGAGCAGTCCTTGCTGCTGGAGAGGTCAGCAGGATTAGACCAAATTCCCTTCTGAAAAAGCTGACAGGATCTAGCCAGTCCTGTCTCCAGCTGTCTGGGAAGCTCACAGTCCTTTCCAATGGCAAAACAGAGGGAAATCACCTCCTGCAGGGCGACAATGACATGAGAGCTGTGGGGGACTGGAGAAGAAATGTAACACCAGAGCTTTCCAAAGGAACACCTGCCAGATCAACCTCCAGGACCTGTGGAAAATATTTTCCAGGTGAGTTGTGTGTCCATCTATTCCTGTCTTCCACTCACAGACCTTTCAGTCATGGTCAGGAGCTGCTCTGAATGGAAGGTCTCTTCTTTTTTAAGGGATAAATAGATAATGAAGACCTTTCCATGATTTGGAAGCGTTTTTAAATATGAGATATTTTGATTTTAAAAAAAACATTAAAAACTTACCAAATATTACTTAATTCTGTGAGTTGATTTTGCATATTTTTTATTGTTGTTGTATCAAACAGAGCTTTCAGTTTTATTTAAATTTAGAGCACTTTTCCAGCAAGACTAAGTTGACAGAATTACAGAATCAGGCACTGGTGTGGTAGAAGAGCATAGAAGAGACTCTGTGCATCTTTGCTGTGTACATGTGCAATGAGCAAAAGGCCTGGTTTTGCCTCTCACCTGCTGACATCCTGCCTACCTGTCTTTGTCATAGGGTGGCACTGCACACTAATATATAGTGGACACTCCCAAAAAATACTCAGTTGTGTTTGCAGCAGGTCTTTGACATAACTTCTGATCATGTGGTGGATTTTTAGGCAGCCCAGAGTCTTTTTTGATTGCTTTTCTATATTGGTGCTGTTGTTGTTTGGTTTGATTAGGTTTCTTACAGAAAGTTTTAACTGCCTGAAGTGTTGCTTGTAAGTAATACCATCCCAGAGTACCAGAAAACAGTAAAGAGAAATTAAGGAGCAGAACAAAATGGTGAGGGAGACCATTCTAGCAACAGAAGTGTGATGAGTGCATACTACAGTAGCAGGGCGTTAAAAAATAAAGAGTTAAAAAAGCAGAGAGAGTTAAAAAAATAAAGAGACTTAAAGTCCTGAAGATACAACTTCACACTCAAGTTGTTCTCCCAGTGGAAAAAGCTGAGGAGAGAAGAGTTGAATGTACTCTGCATCCCGTTACTTACCTGTCTGCTGTGAACAGCTTGAGAATCTCTCTTCAAATAATCCACTTGAAAAAATCTGACTCACCTTTCATTTTTTGGTCTTAAATATCACCCTAACAATGATCAGAAAGCATCACTGCAGTGCAGTTTGAGATCCAAATTTTACTACTTCCATGCAGATGGTATTTGCACAAAAAGTTGAGGGAAGTACTATATCCTTTCAAGCTGCTATGTCAGAGATTGTATTTACTTTGTGTCTTTTTCCCCCTATACCTCAATTTACTTAATGATTTTCCTTTTTTTTTAAATATTATGTATGCAGTGTCACTATTGATAGCAGTAGAAGTAAAGAATCTTCATCTTACTTCCCAGAAAGGGTAGAAAACATCTGTTTATTGAATCATAAGAAAGGAAAGGTCCTTGAGAAATTTACTTTTTGTCTACACAAATCATAGCTATTACACTGGTTGCATTTTGTTATAATAGAAATGGAATGGAGAAGTAATCAACATCAAATACAGCTTACTCAGGAAGTGACAGATTCCAGGGGTTTATATTTCTTTTCTACCCAATCCAACATCAAACATTCACTCTCATTTCACTTGCTAAAAAGGGGGAAAGAAAAAAATAATACATTAAATTAATAAAATGCACATAAACCTCAACAGGAATGGATATGGAAAATAATGTGTTTGGATATGTCTAAAAGATCTCGCTTCTGACAGGCAATCCCTGTTTGAAGGGATGGGTTTTTTTGAAGTCTGGTTTGGAAGCCCTCATAAATGAATTTGATCAAACATCTATCATGCCCTAAAGAATATGGATTACTAAGAATATGGCTGCTAAAGAATATGGATTATTCTTAGCCTATGGTTTTGTATTCTATATAGGTCAGACTAGACTGACACAGAGTGGTGTGGCCATGCTCCTGCATGCCATGAAAATCTATGCTGGGATAGATGAATTTATTGGAATAACAGGACTGCTCACCACCTCCTCTAATTAAACTGGTGTGACTTGTACGTGGGAGACTGCTAAATTTAAGCTTTCCCCCTTAGTCTTTGGGGCTTAGTGTTTTGGCTAATTGCTTTACAGAAAACACTGACCACAAGGGTTTAGCTGATGGACCAATGAAGGGGCCTTGAATTTGATTAAGAAATTACTTTGGTAATTTAGATGCCCTCTGCTGTTCCTCTCTCCTTGCAGCACCGGCAAAGCAGAGCATGTGCCTGGGAAGCTGCACCTTCAGGTCAGGTTTAGAGAGAGATGTAAAGAGGGGCTTGCACAAGCTAAAGCTCACCTGCTTACATGAGGTGGCTGGGGCTGGCAGCCTGGGTTGTTCTTTCACAAAACAAGCTTTGGGCAACTGGGATAACAGTGCTTCAAGATACTGCAGCAGCACATTCCTGTGAGTGCCTATCAGGCTTGAGAAACCTCAGGAGAGCTAGGTTTGGATTCTGGCTGCATCATCACCTACAAGTCCCTAAGAGCATTTAGAGCCACAGGAGCTCCTGGAGTGGTGGTACCCACCTGCAGGGCCCTGCCCTTGGTCTCGATGGGCAGTGTGACTGCAGAGATGGCACAGATGATGCACACGGAGGAGAAGAGACACAGGGCCCCCAAGAAGGAAGTGCTCATAAGTACCTGCAGGTTAAAGAACATCAAACAGGAGCTTGCTGGTGTGGGGGGCTGGCACTTAATTAGCAAGAAAGAGTGGACAAAGGGTCACAAGCGCCCGAGAGACTCCACAATAGAAAAAACAGTATATTGTGAACCTTAAGAGCTTTCAGAAAGTATCAAATAGTAGTAAGTTGAACTCTGTGATGAGAGTTACTCAAAGCTACATCTGGCAAAGACCACCCAAGTACTCTGTATATGGGGTTGGGAGGGAATTGATTACATCCTCCCTTTTTTTGGATGAATTTCAGGGACATCTCTCTGTATTTGATGGCAGGGTTCAGCACAATGTTTACCAACATTATCAAGCATGCTCTTACTTGAGATATAAATGGAGCCACCATTGCTCCTACACGGCATAATGCCCCACTTGTCCCCATCCCCAGTGCTCTCATTGTGGTGGGATAAACCTAAAAAAAGCCAGAAATAAATTGGATTAGTGCAACAGCAATCTGCAATATATTTTCTTTTTATTTTAAATTTTTTTTTTATTAGAGAGACCCATTGTTTTATCAATGGCAGCTAGTGGGATAAGATATGAAAAGAAATAAAAGCTCCCTTGGGCCTTATTTGAGCCATTACAAATCTCTCATTTTTTTCCCCCCAAGTAAAGTTTTAGGGCAAGTCAAAGCTGGATGTGATTCTCCTTTGTTTAGCACCACTACCTCCACTTTATTTCCTGGCTCTATGATCAAAATCACAGAGTTTAGGTTGGGTGCTAAAGGAAAAATTCTGTTTACACTGCTGAGCCCTGTATCTGGGAAGCAGGAAGAAAAGATATTGTCTGCAGCATTCAAGTTTGCCTATTCATTTTTATCAACAGCACCTTTGTTTAGAAGGAAGAAAAAGAAAAACAGATCCCAGTAAGAAATATTCGGGCTTAGAAGAATGTGCTTGGTGTCATTTTTCTTTCACACTTCCCAAACACCTGTGCCAATGAAACACTTAAATATGAATTTTACTGAACTTTTAGTCCTCTTAATATCAACAGATTTTAGCAAATATACTCATATAAGCCTTTTCTTTAAATACATTACTGGGCCAAGCAAGTTAATTCAATAAGAGTCCAGGCACTTGGCTCAAAAGATTTTGATCGTTGATTAAATTGTGAGTAGAATTGATTTATAGTATGGCTGTTACAGCAATGGTCTTTACATCAACAGCAACTTATTCAACACTGCTAAAATTGTGGTATTAAAGCCAGGTGCTAATTTAAATATTACAGTGCACTATTAAAAGTGCAAGGGAGTTACTTCTGTTTGCTTTGGATAGCTTTAGTCAATTAACAAGCAAATCCATTTAACACCATACAATTGTTTTTTAAAAAAAGAACAACAAAAAGCCCAACAATTTATACTTAACTTGCAGAACTCACAGCTCCAAAGTTGTATGAAGGAAAAGCTCTTTAAAGGCTTAAAACCTTTTTCACACAGAACATAGCAATTTCCATTAAGTGAAAAGGATCCTACATATAACCCCATATACTACCTCAAACAGACCCTTAAGTGCTGGAAAATGTTCCTTTTAGTGGTAGTCTGTTCTCTCAATATGGGGGTTAAATAGGGGAAAGATTGTGGGTGTTGGAAGATAGTGGTACCCAACATCCTCAAAAATGTTTTATAAGAGCTAAGTGACAGTTGGCTTAATAGGGCACTCCTCTTCCATCTACTCCTGTCATCTCCAAGCTAGTTTCCTGCTTCCTTCTTATATCTTGCATGTGAAAACACTGGCCAAGATGACAGAGATACACAGGTCTAGGAAGGTGACTCTTAACTAGTTCATAAACTAGCAGGCAGTGTTCCTGGGTATACACAAATGGTATTTGAAGCCTCCAAGCAGCTCAACATACCTCAAGGAGAACCCACCTCTGCTGTGTAAATGTAGATGGTGTTGAAGTTGGCTGAAACCAAGGCACGCAGCATGAAGAGAAAGCCAACTATGCCTGCACTGGAGAGAAAGTAATGTGGAACAGAGTTAATGTCACTGAGCAGCATCAGCAGAGATACCAGAAAGAAAGAAATGGGGAAAAAAGTGAATGAAAAATATAACTGCTTTCCAATGCATGTTGTTTACACATTTTTAAAATTTTCTGGACTGTGCTAGAAAGCAGCTTGTTGGATGCTTAGGGTAAGCCATGTGGGCTCAGTAGTACAAGTGAGCCCTTCTGCACACCACTGCACCACAGAATCTGCTGCCAAAGCTTTCCCAGGAAAATGAGAGCCGGTCAGAGGCTTTTCTCAGACCTATAAAAATGACTGGCCTGACAGACTGGTGAATTGAGAATACCAGTGATCCTCCCCTCAGAATTTCATACCCTCAAACAAGACCCATAGTCTGAGCCAGAGTACCTTGAGGTGCAGATGTTAAGGAGAAGAAAGAATAGAGCTGTACATCCCATGGTGATACACAGGCTTAGACGCCTTCCGAGGAAATTGATGCTGAGAATGTTCACGGGATTTACTGGAAATAAAAAGGAAAACCATAAAAAACCATTCGATGATCTAACTGCAGTGATTGTCTGCCTTGACAGACCTTACACAGTGTGACTCAAAGATACGTGCCTGTGTGCCCGATGCCTACCAAACATCCTGTAAAATGCACAAACCCTATCATTCTCTTCCTGCACCTAAAGCTTGTGATTTGTCCGTGTCCCTTTTGTTTCACCTTCCCCTCAGATGATGAAGCCTGTGCTTCTCTGAAGTTGGCAGGACACCAGTGTCTGTCCTGAGCCATGCAAGGAAGGCACAGCTGGGTGAGCAGCACAGGCCTGGGTGGTTTTTGTTCCCTCTGCCCACAACCCAGCCGAGCACCAGGGCCTGAGGTGTGTCCCACGGAGTGCCCTGCTGAGCCAGGTGTCACAAGCTCATGGTTTGTATCCCAGGAGCTGCCAGCAGTGCCCAGTTCGTGTCGGCCCCTGCCACCAAGTGCACGCAGAGCTCAAACCTTTGCGGTGAGCACTGTGAGAGGGGAATGGCAGGGCAAGGACGGGGGAAGAGGTTACGTGCGATCTCTCCGGCTGTGCTGATGATCATGCTCTGGTAGGCAGCAGGCCCAAACAAGCGGCAGTGGCAGGGGCTGTGGCTCTCCTCAGAGTCATCGCTGGAGTCCGGCAGCGGTGGGGCTGCAGAGCCACAGACAAGGTCCCGCTCCAGCAACTCGGCGCTGGTCAAGATGACGCCGTAATAAGCGAAAGCTATGCCAAGCCTGTGGGGAGAAATGCTGCAGTGAGGTGCAGCTATGATGGGGAAGGTGAGGAAACTCAAATGCAGCAGGTTTTGGATGCCCTGGAATCTCTGCTGCTGCTTGCACCAACTCTGCATGATGGAACCCCTTAGCCTGAGCAGAGAAGTGGCTCTGGCATCCACCTGTCCCATGGCACTCCCCTCCTACCTGTGTCCAGGCACTGCTCTTTCTCAGTAAACCTCACCCCAGCTCATAGCTCAGCTTTGTATTGGGTTTGCATGGCCACGTTTTGCTAGTGGGTTGGGACTACAGGGGTGGCTTCCGTGGGAAGCTTCTGGAAGCATCCTCCATGCCAGATGCCAGCTGGCTCCAGCTGCTGACCAAGGCTGAGCCCATCAGCAGTACTGGTAGTGCCTTGGGTATAACATTTGCTAGAACTGGAAAAAACTGTGCAGGAGCAACAGCAGCCAGAGAAAGAAATGAGAACATGTGTGAGAAACATCACTGCAAACACCCAAGTCAGTAAAGAATGAAAGGTAGGAGGTGCTCCAGGTGCCAGAACAGATTCCCCTGGTTCCCATGGTGCAGACCAGGGTGAGGCAGCTGTGCCCCTGCAGCCCATGGAAGTCCACAGTGGAGCAGAGATCCACCTGCAGCCTTTGGAGGTTCTCATGCCAAAACAGGTGGGTGCCTGAAAGAGGCTGTGACCCCATGGGAAGCCCATGTTGGAGCAGGCTCCTGACAGGACCTGTGGGTCCATGGAGAGAGGAGCCCATGCTGGAGCAGGCTTGCTGGCAGGACTTGTGACCCCCTGGGTGAGGTGAGGGCAGCCTTGCTTTGTCATTATCAAGTAATTCAGAATACACCTGATCATAAGCAGGCTGAAAATTAATTTTCACTTTTTTATCCCCCCCTGGCAGTTTCAGAAATGATCAGCAGAATTTGGGCCACCTGGGAAGGCAGAGAATGCAGGGGGGCATGGGAATGCACACCTGAGAACATACTAGGAACTCCTGGGATGACTAGGAGACAACGAAAGATAAAAACCCAAAAGGATATTTGATATTTCATAACACTCATAGAAGTCAAGGGGGAAAAAAATATAAAAAATTCAAGGCCTGACTTCACAGCATTTTGGGTCAATGAGTTCCCACAGACCTATTATTTATACATTACCATTCTAGACAGCAAAGCCAATGAAACATGTATTACCCTTGCACACAGGTGCTGGGATCACTGCATATGAAACCTGTCGCCTCAATCTTAATTTCCCTCAGTGAGTAGCACTGGTAATGGTGAATGTGTTTCTGTCAGAGCCCTGTCTCACTGGTCCTTTGGCCATCCTTAGGGAGAACAAGTTTTCCCCAGGCAGGGAAGGAGAGCTGCAGGCACACAGCTAGTCCAGCTGCAGTCAGGTGTGGGCTCTGCCCTGTAGCTCTCCCCTGGCTCCCAGGAGCTGCCCTGTCCTGAGGAAAGACTCATAGCACCATCCTGGAAGTCCAGCCCTTTTCTCCCTAAGGTAACAGCGACCAGTCAGGGTGTCTGAGGTGTGGTCTGAAACAGGACAAACCTATGGTGATCCATTCTTCCAGCTGCCAAGGATCTGCAGCCACCATCAGAGGCAGAGTGGTGTCCTGTTAAAGGCAGAGTCATTGGGAGCCTTCTGCTCCCTGCACACTGTCAACCAAGAGAATGAGCTGATAAGCAAAACAAAAAAAAAATTACCATATGATCCATATCTGCAAAGTGGTTCTGAGGTATTTGGGGTGGATAAGGTCCTTGAATCTTCCCCTTCTTTCCTGAAAATCATAAAATAGAAATAGAAGTTTCTATAAAGGCATATTTTGTATGGGATCAAGTGTTCTGTGAGAGCAGTTGGCACGCCAGGCCCTCCTGTGCTCCCCCTGTCCCCAGGCTGCTTGTGGCACAGAGTCACAGATGTGTAACACAGCACCCATCAAACCTCCAGAGAGCAGAGCCCTGCTTCCTAAAAGATATTCACAGGAAACTGCGCTGCAAAGGATGGAGGAAGGGAGAAAAGAACATCCTGAGCTCTCCTGGCCCCAAAGCGCCCCAGATCTGAGCAGTCTGGTCCCATTGTGACCGTGATGGTGCCAGAGGGGGCCCTGATTGCTGCTGGGGGGCCAGCATTGCTGGGGCTTCTGTCAGCTCCCACTGCCCTGCGTGCTGCTCTGCCTGGGAAGCAAGCTTTTGGACATGTAAATCTTGCTGGGAGGCCTGAATGCCAGTGAGCAGAGACTAGCCAGCACTAGGGATCCTGCCCGGTGTGCTGCCCCCCAGGGTCCCACCACCAAGGGGAGACAAGTTCACAGGGATGGTGTGGGTTGACTTTATTTTTATTTTCCTCATCATTGGTTAAGCCTGAGAGAGGCCAAAACTAATGAAAGCCCTTCCCACATGCAATGTGGGTCCATTACATAAATTCAATTAAATTTCAGGGAAGCTTTAATCCTAACTAATTCCAATACAATAGCACCATCTTGCATGAATTGCTAAGGACAATACTTGGTGCCTGTAGGATTGAATAAGCAGGAAAAAGATCCAGGAAAGGGATTTAAAAGAACTGAATAATTTTGAGGCCCTGAACAATGGATTTGTCTTATCTTCCTGTCTTGGGGGTCAAAGGAGCCACCTAAGCCCTTCCACCCACCAATCAGCCAGGCCCAGGCTGGGTGAGAGGGGGCGAAGTCTGGGGGAAGACTGCCCCCCACCCCCCTTCCTGCAGCACCCACACACATTTTTGGGCATTTCAGTCCAGCAGAAATCCACTCCTGAACTGCTCAGCTGCTTACAGGTACAGGTGGTGGTATCTGTAAAATGGTCTCTCCTGCTTTGACCCTCTCCTGCTGATCTGTGGCTCCACACTCAGGGATCTGGGGTCCTGGGACACAGTGGACAAGCCAGGCCAGGAGCTGGGAGAAGCCTCTGGGAGCACTGGGGTGACCTCATGGCAGGGATCCTTGCAGGCTACCCACTCACAGCCCTGAGAGAGACCTCTCAGATCTCATGGCAGAGGGGACACCCCTGTGGGATGGGTGGGCAATAAGGAACGGCGTGCTTTGCCAGTAGCCTCTTTTGTGGTAAAGGAAGCAAGTATTTTCTTAGCCCAATATTTTTCTGAGCAAACACAAACTGAGAAAGAAAAAAAAAAACAGAAAATTCCATTCCATTTTGAAGGCCAAGGTTACTGTTTCTCCAAAAGAAAACTGACATCTTCATCATTGCTTTCAGCAGTTGTTTGGAAAAGAATCAGGCAAAGAGGACAAGAGAGGCAGAGCAAGATGTGGTTGGCAGTCCCACTCCCTCCCTGAAGCCCAGATGCCGCCTGGGATGGATGGGCTGGACAGCCTGGACTTACCTTGGCAGGCTCCCTCAGCTGCCCCGCTGGCACGGCCGCCCCATTCATCCTGGCTATCCTCTGCAGCGTGGCCAGCGCAGCCTCCGTGTTTCCCGTGGACACATTGTACCGTGCCGACTCTGGGATGAACTGGAAGCAGAGCAGGAAGCCTTTCTGCACCTCTCTGGTCCTACTCACAGCTTCACATCACGCCCAGGAACCTGCTCAGGTTGGCACAGGGCACTCCATAGGCTGGAGCAGCCTTTTGCCTGCCCTTTCCCCAGCCATGCCCTGGGGTACTCTGTGTGCCCCAGCCCCACAAGCCCCCCAGAGGCTCACCCTGCCCAACAAACCCATTTGTTGATCATGCCACTGAGCCATCTGGGTCAAGTGCTTATGAAAGGTGAAAGCCAAAGACACAGGTTCAACAAAAACAATCCTGAATTAATTGACATTCTAAAATGAGATGAGGCACATATTGCTGAAGCAAAAGTCTTGGAAGGCACAACAAGGCCATTTTAATAAAAAGGAAGAAGTGATTAAAATGTAACTAGTCACTAGCATTTGGTACTCTTTCCAAAATAAAATATGTTTTTTATTAACTGGCTCTGTTAAATTATAAACAATTACATCTATTTCACTCAAATAGGAATTAAAGACCCCTTTTTTAAAGGTATGTATAGTAACTCTGTCTTTACTTTTCCCCCCGGATTACAAACTTCACCTATTCAATTTTTCTGGCTAAAATAATCAGGAAAAAAAAAAAAATCCAGGTTGTATGAGTGTACATTCACAGCAACCTTACATTTGCCTGCCCAGGTAGCACTCCAGACGGACTTGTGCATTCATTCAGCTGCAGGAAGAGCTTTTACATCTCTACAGACGCCACCAGCCACAGCTCAGCACTGCAGTGCTCATGAGCACTGTAAGCAGGGATTTTCCACATCACCCTCCACAAATCAGATGGTTCTCATATCCAAGACCATGATGGTTCTCATGGGTTTTCTTTAGCAGAAGGATACCTGGGGAAATTGTGGTTTACCCTGGCACTCTGTGAACAGTTTACTGAGGCTACTTTCCTCAGTCTTAGAAAATATTAAGACTGAAGAGAGTGTGCTGTGCCCAGCATTAGAATGAAGGTATTATTTGTCATTTTTTTCACATACTATGTAGACTGTCTTCCTCTTGGTGCCTGGCCCATCACTGCAGTCCCTGAGTACTGCTGGCAGCCTGGACACTGGAACCTGAGCTGCTGGAGGGCTACTGCAGACTAGTAAAGCCAGGCCAACATCAGCGTGGTGGCTGATGATGATGATGCAGACCTGAAGATGGTCTGCAGCCCCGCCAGGACTTCAGGACCTTACCAAGCCACTGTGTCAGAGGACAGAAGAGGACAAAGGAGGACACAAGAGCCTAGGATGAAGGGGGTGGAGGGCAATGGTGCCTGGGGAGACATCGGGGTGATGGCAGTACGACAGGGAGCAGAGAGTGGAGATCTTCCTACCTTGAACACCAGGATGAGAAGGATGCCAGGGATGGAGGCAATTCTGATCAACCACCGCCAGCCAATGGTTGGGTTCACCACTGATGCCAGGCCAATGATTAACAAGGATCCTGCCAACCAAAACACCTTTCCAAGGGAAAGAAAGGGGTTAGAACATGAACACATGGCAATGATTTGTTTATTGTCTTCCCTTCTGGTCCGGTTCTGTGGATAGATGGGGAACTGTGCTAGGGAATGCCAAGGTTCAACTGAGCCATCTTATGGCTGTCTGAGAAGCTGGGCTTGGGTGGGAGGAAAAAGGGAAAGGCAAGAGCTTGGGGAGGGACAGAGAATTAATTAGCTCCAGGTAAAAAAATTAATTTGCTGTGGATACAGCTGTACTTAAAACCACTGCTTTTGTCCTTTCAATCACTTCTCTGCTAATGCTCATGAATTTTCCTGTTGTCTAGGTCTCTTCAGGAAGCAGGAGATTTACAAGCTCAGAAGGAAAAATCAGTCCAGATTTCCACTGCTGAAAGTTGGTAGCTCTCCAGTAGACTCAATGCCCAGCTATACCAACAGCAAATCTGGCCTCTGATCTGCAAGTACATTCCTTTCTGAAGTTCACTTGTTGCCATTAGGAGACACATCCCTTTCCAGGGGACCACCCAAGGGAGTTCAGCCAACACAAATCACAAAAGCTGCAGCAAGTCCATGAATAGCCTGTGGGCAGAAATAACAAATTTCTGGGGAGAAATACAAGATTGTTCTTCCATAAATCTTTGTGTTTCTGATAACACTTTGGTAATGATGCCCTGGGATCAAGGAGGCTGCAGTGAAAAATAAGTTATCCCCAACGAAGAAGAGTTTGGTTCAGCAGTGGGATGAATTTGTGCACTCAGAGGTGTCACCACTGATCATCTGCACATACAGCAACTGCCCACTGCAGAAGTAAGCAATGACCCAGCAAGCGGGTACAACCCTCCCAGCATGTATCAGGCCAAATTTGGGACTATCTCTGCTAACCCTCCTGTGCAAATGCCCTGGCAGAACCTGAACAGGGAGAGAAGCAGATTAGGACCTCGCCTGAAAGTCACTACATAAACCACTTGTTATCTCTGGGGGTCCAAAGAACGGGGAGGGGGGACACATCTCTTGGAGTGGGCTGGGAATGCCACCAACTCCAGCGCCTGCCACTCCATCAGCACTGGCCCCATTAGACCAGGTAGCCACATTGTCAATAGGACAACCAAGAGGCTGGGTGTCAGCCATCACTCAAAATCCCTATAAAATGTTTGGAGCATCAAATAATTTGAGAAGATATTGCCTCTCTCCTGTGTATGTCTTTAATAACACAGATGCCACACTCTGAGGTGCAGGAGGCAGTGAACGCTTGCTCAGACCCAGACAAGAGGGTTTAGTATGGGAAAAGTGCTGATGTGCTGGAGATGTGGCTTCCAAACTGTGATGGGACAAATCTACTGGGATTTGGAGCTAAAAGAAACGGTGATGTTTTTCTTGTTCTCACCTGGGATAAGGGCAACATGTATCCCCGATATTTGGTGGGCAAAAATTCAGTTTTTATGATAAGTCTAGCAAAAAGGGGGAAAAAAAAAGCAGAAATACAGTTGCAATGAGAATTTACATACAAATCAAGTAACAGTTCAGCTCAACTCATACGATGAATACCATTCCTCTTCCACCTTGAGCACCCAGAGACAAGGAATCCCTGTCCAGTATGCCTCCCTCCTACTCCAGCACCAAATTACATGCAACGGAAACACAAGGCACGAATCCTTTCCAGCCTGTGGCTGTGGGATACAAGTAAGTAAACACTGCAGTCTATACATCAAGAAATCTATGGGTGACTGAGGTGCCAGCACAAGCATAGATACGTTCATAGAGATTAACATTTTAGTAAAGGTTTTTTCCATGAAATAAGGAAAACTCTGTTCCACTTTTTAAATGGTTGAGTGCCCTTGGTATAGGGGGCTTGTGGTGCATGCATCTCTCAAGGTCCCCAGTGTGAATTCTGTTTCCTTAGCTGGACAGAGAGAGAGGTGGGAAGAGACCCTCAGTGGCTCCTTCTGTCTCAGCCAGTGAAGTGTTTTATAAAATGTTCAAATTTCTTCCATCGTCACGAGACTCATGAGCAGCCTCCATGGCCAGGGAATGGGGGACCTCCTGCGAGGGAGGCTGTGCCAGCAGCTCACCAGATGCATGACTCAGGTGCCTTCTCGCAATAGCACCTCTCTCCCCCGTGTCCCTTCCTTCAGCAAAGGGATTTTGGGTCAGTGTGACTACTTTAGGGCTTTCCTTTGTGGGCAGCAACCAGGCTTTGAGGAACCATGGATGGTGCTGAAATGTTTCATTTGCTTCAATAAGAGAGTCAACAAAAAAACCCCTATTCTTCCAGACCAGTGAAGTGGTCATTAATATTGTGAATCTTTCTCCCCCACATCCTCCTTTCTGCCCCAACAAGACAAAAACTTAATTTCAGTAGGAATGTTTTATATAATTCAAAAATAATTTTCTACTTAAGCAGAATTGTTGTGACTTTTTTTTTTTTTTAAGGAGGAAGCAGCCTTTACTCATCTGTTACCTGTCTAATTGTTTTTACATGTTCTTAATAATCCCTCTGTCACCAGTTTAATGTAAACCAGCTGCCCCCTCTATTCCAGGCCTCAGGAGTCCTTGGGAACTGCAAGTTAGGTCAATTGACTGGGATTTAGTGAAATTACAGAATGGCTTTTTGTTTCAAGGTGATGTGGGAATTTAGTCCCATTTCCCCTTCCAGCCACTCCGTTACATTCTCTGGGGAGGCGGCTTGCACAGCCTTACCCTTGCGCGTGGCCTGACACACCACCTCCTACCATAGCCCGCAGGAACACAAACCAGATGTAGGATGGGGCAAACGAGGTCAGCAGGGAGAAATAGGCTGCCCAGAGGAAGGAGAGCAACAGGATCTGCAAAAGGGCAGGAATTAGGGTTATTAAAGCACAGGCTCAGCCAGGTGCATGGCTCCTGTGGAGCACAGGAAAAGGACACACAGCCCCCAGCAGTCACTCACCTTCCAGCGGCCATACCGGTCAGCCAGGAGCCCGAGCACTATGCTGAACACCATGTAGCCAAAAAACACCATCTGAGGGGAATTGGAATACAGCAGTGGAGAGCCCATTTCCAGCTACACGGGGCAGCTCTGCTCTTTGAGCTGCAGGTGAGCTGTGTGTTCTCAGGGCAGCAGGATGAACTGTGGCACCCAGAACCACAAGGGAGAGGCTTTCAGGGGATGGCTTCCTTTGTGTAGGCACTCACTGCTGCAACCCTCAAAGCTGGGTGTGGGTAGCAGGGTTTTCAAAATAAGAATGTGGAAGTGGGGATTTGCTTTGTCCACTTGCTCTGGGCATGGACATCTGCTCTCATCAGCTTAATTTCTGATGTTAACAATTTTGGCACTGTTCTTGTCCCCGTGAAGAGGCCCTAGGAATTTGTTTGGTTTGCTGGGAAATGCGCTTTCCAAAACCCGTGATGGTACCCATGACTATGACCACATGGTGGATGACCTTTCTGGGGGGAAACACGAGTCACTCACTGTTGTCACTAAAGCCACCTGCCAGTCTTGGAGCTGCCACTCACATCGGATGAGAGGGGACACAACAGCTATCAGCATGATCTCCATAGCTTCAACCACCTTTGGGAACAAGTGTGTGTGTTAGTAAGAAGGGACGCCACAAGAAGCCCATAGGGAAAATTCAGTCCTATAAAGCCTGCAGCCATGGCAGTTCCACCATGTCAGAACAGTCCTGTGAAGCCATGGTGCCTCCACAGTGGTCTGAGCCCTGTACCTGACCTGGAAGATCTTGGTGACAGGGAGAGGAGGAGAGAAAGGCACACCTAGAAAGCAGGTACAGGTATACTGTGTATCTGGGAAGTTTGGAAAGAGTCATCCTTGGCAGAGAAGATTCTTACCAAGCTGGGTTATTAGAAGATCTTCAACTATCTCTGGAAACCAAGTTGCTTCGTTGGGTATCTAGTTGTGGATTCAGGCGTCTGACATGAACTCTTAAAACTGTTTTTAAGAGTTCCATTGCTCCACTGGCTGTGTGTCCTACACAGTTAGGAATGAGCTGACTGTTTACACACAGCAACTGACTTTTTCACCTTAGCTGCAGCAATCCTCATGGATAGACCCTTGTTATATTTTTAGCCCAGCCTGGCCTCCAGCTTTTGCCCAAGTTCCCAAAACAGATACACAATTAACCCAGGACCATGAAAGTTAAGAAATTTTTCAGGTAGCCAGGGGTGAGAAGATGCCAGGCCTTCTGAGCCAGATTGCAGAGGATTTGGGTGCCATGGGGATAACATGAAAAATGCAACTGTGAAGCTAAACCAACCTTCAGGCCCTAACAGTGCTCCAGAACAGGGGCCAAACCATGATGCTCTGGGCCAACCTGCTCAGCTTTGCCCTGAAATGGGTCTGATATCAATGGGACCAAAATCTACTTTCACCAATGGTGAAAATAGCAGAAATCCTGCTTGAGAAGGTATGTATGGAAAAAATGGGCTGGCAACAGTATGTGCTTATGGTTGTTACTGCATGGCAATGAGAAAAATGAGAAGGAAGCTTTTTCCAGGCTACTACAGGTGGTTGCAGATACCTACCCCAGTGCTGCCCATTATGAGGAAAAGCATGATATGGAACCTCCCAAATCCAATGGTTTCCACAGCTTCTTCCACTGTAAATGTCTTTTGTCCTAAACATAAAAAGAAAATTAAGACACAAAACCTGTCAGCAGTCAAATTGTGCCTCCTCTTCATAAAAAAATATTTCTCATGCTTCTGTGGGACTGCACCAGGAAAAAGCCTGGAAACATCTACCAGCTTTATGTCCACTGACCAGGCCCTGGATGTCCTGATGGAAGGGCTCAACAGGGGGTTGCTGAAACAGCAGCCAGTGCAAATGGAGGAAGAACAGCCTTGTACTATTTGAAATGCTTTTGAAACAGAGTAACATTTAAAAAATTATTCCAAGGAAATTAATTCTCAAATTACCAATATAATAAAATGTTTACACAAAGCAGAGGCTGAGAAAAGCCAAGCCAGCCAGCTCTTCCCACTGCCATAGGCAGCAGCCACCAGCCTGATAGGTGTGGCGGGATGGGAGCATGGGATGCTGATGTTGTGGCTCCATCTACAGAGGTTTTAAGCAGCTGGAGTGGCACAACTGAGGACTCTCCCTCTACCCCAGCCAAACAAGGAGCCAAATTTCTAGTCCTGTCAACACAAACCCACCTTTTGGTGGTTCTTTTCTCTCTGCGTGGATTTCCTCCAAGACAATAGCATTTTCTGCCTCTTTTGGTGCAGTGGCCATCAGCTCCTGCTGGGATCCACAGTCACTTCAGGCAAGGCTGGGATTTACCTGTGAAACCTCACAACAGTCACAAAGTCACCTGAGCAAGAAAATAGCAAGGCAGTTTCTCACTGCCACTGGAATGGAAACTTTCAGATACAGTCAAATATTAGTTTGTTCCATGCAACTACTAGAACACGCCCCTTCCCACTAAGGTTTTAGTGAAAAACACATAGAAACATCACAGGGTGAATTAGCTGAACTGAGAGGCATCAGTCATCACATCACACTGGCTGTTTTTATGGAAAGTCCAGGGATTGCCTTAGGGAAAACTGGAGACCTGCTAAGACAAGAGAGCATGTGACAACTTCCCCAGCCCAGAGGTTGGTGAAATACAGTGCCAGTCTAAAAGATGTTGCATCTCCACAGCCAAGACATGATAGAACCAGTAGTAGTTGCCCCTTTTGGAGACTCCCAGTGGAGCTGGGTTTGAGTGGGCAGTAGAGGTGCTGCACTCAGCCTGGTGGGAGCCCCCACTGAAGCAGAGCCAGGTGACCCAGCCAACTCCCTAACCCCAGGACCCTGAGGGTGGCAGAGTAGCACTTAGCTCTTCACCCAAGCAGCACACAGGTTCCTGCTGCAAACCAACCCCTCTGCCTCATCCCTTGCCACACTAATCCCCATCCTCTCAGGGTATCCATAAACACAGCCATGCATTCTGGATTGCAACTGGAAGCTGGATTCCTCCACTGTTGCTTTTCCTCATCAGAAAAACTCATTTTAATCCCAGGGCAGGGATTAAGCACACTGACTGCTTAAACCCACAACCTTTCCTGCTGAGTGCATGCTCAGGCACTGCAGAGGGGGGCTCAACACATCTGCACTGTGCTGACCCCCTCTCCTTTGATTACCTCCCTTCAGGAGTGCTGGACTTGGCCCAGACTGCGTTCACAGCCAGCCTGCAGACTGGGGAGGCTGCAGAAGGGTGAGAACTGGAGGGAATGAATGGCTGAGAGCATCTAATGAAAGATTAAAAAATCCATTTGAGATAGAGGGCAGCATGAACAAAGAAAGCATGGAATTACTGTACTCCAGGATGGATACCTTGATCCTATACTGAGGCACAGTTAGAAGGAGGTCATTAAGGACTAATGGCAGATTAGTCAGTTGAGTCACATACACTGACCTTGCTGTCACAGATCATTACAGTCCAGCACCCAAGAAGATGCAAAAGATATTGGTTACATCTGTCTCTAGCAATGTCCTCGGAGGCAGCAATAGCTGCCAGCAGCACACAGTGTCACCAGCTGATTATGACGGCCAACAGCTAGGGACTATTTCCAAGTGGAACCAGCTCAACAGAGACCAAACAAGGTGCTTGGGAGAGCCCATGGGAAGAGGTAAAGATTTACTGTGTGTCTGAATTGCCAAAGGCTTTGCAATAACAAAGTCTGGGCACCTGTTCTTCTCCTCTTCTGTTCCTTTATGACTAGGGACCTGCAAACACATTCTGCCCTTAGCTGCCACACCACACCTCTGTCTGGTTAAACAGACACTCTCCTCCAAAACCTCTGTGGCAGGCACAGCCCACAGTGCTGTCAGGACAAGCATCAAGCCCTGGATGTTTGCCCACCCATCCTGATGCTGGGATACCCTGCTACTGTTTGCTGAGGGGTGTTGGAGCATTTCACTGGCACCTGCTGTGGGCTACATGCCTTCCTTCTGGGAAGTGCCACAGCTCTTCCACAAAAGAGGAGAGAAGCCCAATCCCTTGTGCTGCTGTGCAAAACTCATAGCGAGGGTCAGGTGCTCAAGCAGAAGGCTGCAGTGCTACCTCCAGCACCCCACAGTAGCCAGATACCTTCAGAGGTGGCAGGATGTACCTAATGGGAGAACCCCACTAGTCTCATATAGCAGCTGGTAAGCAGGTGGGATACACTCTCCAGCACCTCAGATAACACCAGAAATCTGTGCAGGCACAGATAAACCACCTAAGAGTTCCTACCAAACTGAGTTTTGCTCATCCCAAACCTTTGCAGCTGTTTGCCTTGATGGAGCAGCTAGTGTCTATCTTCAGGGAGTCACAAATTTCCCTCTATTTGTAAATCCAACTAAATGCCAATTAAACAAGCCAAAAGAACAGCAGTGACAAAGCTGTTGCTGGCAGGGAAAATAAAAACTCTCCATTGGAAGGGAACAACCAAGAGTACAGTGAAACTGCTGCTGGGACCCACTGGAATGATGCTGTGACACCCCCCCCCCCCCCCCCCAGAGGGCTGTGAGGCACAAAGGCCATACAACATGCACTGCTGCCTGTGACACCACCTGGGAACTCTGTCAGTAAGGTCAGAGACCTTCTCTGGCTGAGACTTTTCCCTGCAGGTGAGAACAGGGCTATCTGATCATAAAAATGATCAAATGCCCCCAGTATTAAGAAAGATTTTACTAAATATTTTTTAATTTAGTGAAACTTTCTTACCTCTCAGGCTCGGAGGAGAAGACCTCTTCTCTTTTCTGACTGTTTCTCCTCTGCTATTTACTTTTACAGTGCTGACAGTGCTGCTTGTTTGGGATCCAACTCCCAGGGGTCAGGTTTCCTCCTTGCTGGGCACAGGCAGGTCCCTCTCCGCCCACCTCCACCATCCAGGGGTAGGTGCTGCAGGCAGGGTGCCCAAGTGCTGACCTGTGCTAGTTTCACTGCATCTGCAGGTGCTTCACAGGCACTGCCCTCCACAGGTGTTGGTGGTTACTCATCCCTTCTTGTGAGGATGACTCCAAGCAGGTGGAAGGAGGGTGCTGGGACACATCAGTATTGAAACACCAACAAGATCTTAGCTCATAGGTTTCAGAGGTAGGTTCAGCAGTCAGTGCCCACGTAAGGCACCTTTGCCATCCCCTGCATGGGCATTGCAGCCACTGGCTCTTCTTAGGCCAGATGAAGCCAACTCAGGCACCAGCACTATGCGAAAAATAAGGTCTGCTTCATCCCTCTAAATTTCTTGATGAGGTAGAAAAATGCAGGGAGTATTCGTAGCTTTAAACTGGCACAGGGATCCCAGCCTTGCTGTGCAGCAAATCTCAGTTCCACAATAGATGTGGGCTCTTGACTAGGACCATATGTGCTGACCTTTACTAGTCAGTGTTGGTACGGGTCTCACAAGGGCTTCCAAAATCCTTCTGTTTTGAATACATACACTGAACTGGCAGCAATGGGGCAATAGTTTTATCAAAGTAACTCCCACACTGAATTCGATCCTTCCAAGCATCTGGAAGATATTTGCTATCAGCCAACATATGCTATCTCCCAGCTTTATTTTTTATCTTCTTCTTAATAATATCTAATATTCAGCTGGTATTGGCATCTGCTGAATGAGCTGCACAATCCAAGCTGCCAGATCCATACCATTATGTTTTCATTGCAAAAATTCCAACAGCGTGTGTGCAATGACAGGAGGGAACAGATGTTCCAGCATTCCAGCTCCCCAGGAAGGAAGGGGAAAAAAATGACCAAAATTCCAGTGAAGTTCTAAGCTACAAAGATGAGCTTTCAGGCCCAGGTGTTTAGGATTGCACAAAGGGATACTATGTCTATTACATTTTTCCAACCACCTCGTGGTATTCTACTTACTTGCCATGGAAAGGCAAAGGCTGGTCAGAGTGAAGAACAATGGAAATTCCTATATTCATGAAAGGCCCAGGAGAAACAAGAGTGGGAGAGAGAAAAGAAAGGTCTCTGCACTGGCCAAGAACATGATGGAGAGCCATGGTATAGGTAAAGACTGAGGAAAGTGCTGTTTTCTGGAGGAGCCAGAGGCTGAACACCAAGAAACTGTTGACTCCTGGAGTTTCTGAAACTTTAGTCCAAAAGCTAGTTCTTTATCACCAGAACAGAGGACCTAAGAGACTGGACAAGAACTCTGGCTTTCTCCATCATCTACATCACAAAGCTGTCCTGGTGGGAGCAATGGCTCTCACAAGAAGGAATAAAAAAACTCAGGAAAGAATGGCTGAGTGACTAAAAACAGTTTGCTTGACTTCCTTTCTTTGTTTGCCTTTCCTTTCTACATGGTCATTCACCGAGTTTTGTTTAATGTTTGTTCCCTACTAAATGACTAAACTCATGCCACCAGTTCTCAGAAACAAACTACTCCCTAGCAATGGGATGAGCTTTGGGTCCAGAAGCACCCAATCCCCTTCAGGCACAAATCCTGAGTCTGCTGCAGAGGGGCATGATGAGGTCCTGGCTTGGGTCAAGTAATCACAAGTCACAGCTCTTCCAGCACTGGGTACAGTTCAGTTAAAGACAGTGGGCCAAGAAGGTCTATTAGTCTGTAACAGTGGTCTCTGGTGCACCTGACCACAGCTGGTGGCCACATTCACAGAACCAGCTGAACCACATGTTCCACTCAGCTTAGCAGCTGTGCAGGGAACAGGCAGCCACTGCTCTACTCCAAAATCCTCATCTTCTGTAGGAAAACCTTCTAAAAGCAAAGCACTCTCTGGAATATTTCTAGGTTTTTAAAGAATTCTTTAAAAGAACCCATATGAAACCCAGGGCTCTCTTCAAAGTGTATCAGTGCAACCCTGCTTCTCAGCAATCTGAATGCTTTCTGAATATTAGTGGGCTTGGTCCTCTTGTGCTGTGGGGAAGCACCATTCCCATTTCACAAATGCTCAAGTAGGACACAGGCTGTACTGGTTTTTCTTTTTTTGGTTGCACACATAAAGAGAGAGAACTGAATACAGAATCAAGCCCAATTTTTGAGTTGCTGTTCGGTACAGTAAATAACAGACCATCTTCTCAGCTGAAGTATTCACAGGATAACCTGTTTTTCTTGCTTAAAATGTAAGCCTTGGACAAAGAGTGAAACACCAAGATGCTCTGAAAGGAACGGATAATCTGTTTCTCGTAATCAGCTTCTCAGTTACTTGCAATCACATGGAAGGCTGCAATTAAGATAAAATATGTGTTTGTGCAGAAAATTCACCCAGTGTTTCATAAAGCAAATTCTTTTCTCTGCATTTGAAAATTCATCGAACTACTTTGGCCTTTCTTTCTGCAAGACAGCTTTTCTCCTGAGTGGGAATAGACAAAACAGGCTGGAAGGAAGAAACAAAGGTGATGTGCATATGCTGAGCAACTGTGACACCATCTGCAGTCATGTCTGTGTGGCTTTTTCCTGTACCATAGGTTACATAAATATGCCCAAAGAACTGGTGACCTGGGACCATGCATGGGTCATGGACAACGCCTGTGCCCACCTCTTCTCAGCTCCAGCTGCTGCTCTGAGCCCAAGCTGTTGAAAAAGCCTCATTGTAACTGCTGCCCAAAGTTAGTTTGGCTTCTTGAGGCCCCAAGGGAAAAATTGGGACTACTGCTTGGCTTGGGGCTGTATTTTCTCTCCTGTCACTGTAGCTGGAGGCGACTCTCAAGCCTGACTACTGCAGAAACATAACCTGTGATGACTATAACACTGTGTGTCCTGCTGGGAACACTCCCATGTGGGTTTTTTGGGGGAGCTGGATATCAAGGCAGTGAGTTCTGAAAATAAGGGCTTGTTTGGTCACACCCCTTGGAAGGGAGCACTGTCCACTCCAAATCGCTTGGTGTACTCTGTTTTCTTTACATAATTCAGGGTTAAAAAAACATAGCCTGTTATGATTAACGCTATTCAGTTTGAAGGATTAGTAATTCATGAATATTTCAGAAGATCACAGTACATCAGTACTTCAAATTCATGCCAACTGTTTTGATTCCACTTTTCTTTCTGTTCATTAATATTAGCATTTCTGTACAATCTGCTTTAACAACCCATCTTGAAAAATACAGCACATCTTGAGTCTTCAGTGACAAACAAGTCAATCGAGATAAATGAAATGGCTGCCAATGTGGAAACTTTTGTTTACACAGCTCAAAACTAACGCTTTTGTTAAGTGATGATGTGTGTACATTTCTATAATCCAGTGCTGTCAAGCCCTGGAGCAAATCAGATAAAAAGGGGGTTATTCTAGTAAAGCATGTAGGAAATTGCAAGTCTGCAATACGATCTGTCTTTGAGATGGTTTGCATTGTGTGCTAAATGAAGGGCTGAAATCTTATAAGGAACTTAATCATGTCATATGATCAACCACAGACAAAACATACTTTCCTTGGAAAGAAATATACCACAACAACAAGGCAGGAAGTGGAGCAGAACACATGTGAGTCCATTGTTAATAATTAATTTAATTCCAAAGCTGCATCTCCTCTTTTCAACCAAGCAGTAGGCAGCTGACCCCATCAAATGCTGAGGACCAGGTACTTGCAGACATCAATGGTGTCTCAGCCAAATGTCCAGGCAGCCCAGCTTATACAGGTCAGCTCTTAGCTGATACAGTAGTACACTGGAATTTAGCTAGGACATACTCATCTACAGCTCTTCTTTCAAGGGCCATGTCCCATTCTGTTTCATCCCATGTGTCCTACTTGTGGGTGAGCCACCACAAGGAAACAGAGCCTGGTCTCAGGAGGGAAGCAGTGATGCACTGGTTTTACTCTTCTGCAGTGCCATTGATGATGTGATTGAAGGAGAATGGAGAAAATTTGTACCCAGCTCCCACGTAGAACTTGTTCTGAAATTCCACCCTAGGGAGGAGCAGAGGGAGGCATCAGTGGTGCCTGTAGGCAGGACCTACAGCCAGCCAAGAGGCTGAAATACGGCACCCGTGGGAAAAGGGAGGCTACAAGATGCTGGACTCTAAGCTGCGAATATAGGCCCTTTATGGGACCAGCAATGAGACATAGGCAGCCCAGGGAGCAATGTGGCACACATCAGCTCTGACTTGCTATCAAGCCAGACTGGAAATGCTCACTATGAGGCCAATCAGCAGAACCTTGCCTGGTAACCTGCTTCTAGAAGCTCTGAGAGCTGGGATAACCACCTGCTGGTTGTACACTGGAGGGAGACAGACACCTCCTCCTCTCTGCACAATGATAAGCACCTGCACCATGGTTTGGCCATGTTTATGACTTGTGCTGGGACATTACTCAGTGAAAAACACCACAGCTTGGGGTTCAGGTAGGATACCGAGTTAGGGTGGTGGTGAGGGGTGTGTTGTCACCTTGGTCTTGCTCACATGCTGATGGCATGTCCACACTGCTGTCCTTGCCTGCACCGATGGTCTCTTAAAGCCAACACAGGCTAACTTGGAGCTGGTTTAGCACAAAGCCTGAAGCTCAACTTGGGCTGATGACACAAGCATGGACCCAGGTTTTCATCAGGTTTTGCACTCCCAGCTGAACTCTTGCTGCCCTTGGCAGCTGTCTTGTTAGATCCTGGGGTGGGATACACAGCCAGTGGTGTGGCTGTGCTGCCTTTGGGCCTTGTCGTGCAGGTCAGAGGCCTCAGTGGCTCTGCATGTTTGCCAGGACAGAACTGCAAGTTGCCATTTGCCTCACATGCTGACAACCACCACAGGTGCAGGAGGACGAGCTGGTTGCTCCAGGGAACAGGTCAAAGCAGGGATCTCTGATCTTTGGAAGAGTCTCCCTCACTTCATTTGCCAATGGCAACTAATGGTCCAATGCACTGGCACAGCATGTCTAACACTGTGCCCACTTGTTCCCACAGCCTGTTCCCTCCCAAAGACTGATCTGGGAAAAGCTCCAGAGGGCCACTCCACGTACCAGTGCAGACGCAAGGCATGCAGGAAGGCCGAGAGCCCCTCCATGACCAGCAGGATGGCTACCGTCAGCACTGCAAATGCCGCGAAGATGATGAAGATGGCAATGAGACCTGCCCAGCCGCTGCTGCTGAGCCCGTTGTGCATCACCATGGTCCAAAGGACCTCTGACAGCTCTGCAGAAGGAAATAAAAGGAAAACAGTGCTGAGCAGCAGCTGTGGACAGACGCAGCATGCAGTCTTCCAGCTCACCCACTTTTCCCAGTTTGTAGAATACATGTGCTCTTAGCTAAGCTTTTTAGTTGCTTTATTTTATTTAGGTTTCTGTTCTCCATGTAAAGCTAATGTGTATCAGCTTCCACTCCACTCCTACAAAGCTGTGGCAAGAAGGACAGCTTACCCCTGTCAATCCATGGCACACCACACCATGGCCCCCATCCTTGCCCCCCACCCCTTTTTGTTTTGCTTTTTTTGTGTGCACAGTTCTTTAGGGCAGGTGCAACTCCTAGCCAGAGGCATTACAGCAATATTAATAAAAAACATTTCAGAAAAATGAGAAACATTGAAAATCTAAGTTCCAGCCTGAGGCAATTTCTAGTATTTGAGCATCTGTTTTTATTGCAAATCAAGACAAAAGACATTGAAATGCTGTACATTTGTCATGGAATGTGATGTTCCACTGAATGTTTCTGGGAAAAATCCCAGTGAAAATGACAAATTCCAGAAGTTCTTGAGTCAGACCTTTTCTTTCTTGTTTACTTAACAAAATAAAAATGACGGTTTCAAGTAATTTTGGCATTCATCTGCATACCCTAAGGCTATAGCAAGTGCTTCTTGGGAAAAGCAGTTATGGCTCCCATGCTGCCTTCACCTCCGTGGACTGGAGGTGAAGGACAAGTGGACTGCACCCCCCAACATGCCACACACCATGAGGACTATTCCAGAGGGGTAGTTAACAGCAGTGCACAAAAGGGGCCCCAGCCAGTGAATGCAATCAGAGCTGCCAGGGATCACCTCTGAAAACTGAGATGCCCACCATGAAACACTTGGAGTGATCTGACCAGAAGCAAAACATCCTGACACACAAATGTCCACAAGGACAAACCTGGATTTCCTGAAGAAATTTGCAGGAACAGTCAACACCAGCAGAAGCCATGACCAGCATGGTGAGGAGACTAAAGGGGAAAATCACTCACGTGCATGGGCCAAGCTCAGCGCCCAGAGTCGCAGGTACGAGGCTGTGTTGGAGATGCAGCCAAGGCAGTATTCAATGGTGTGGATAGCTTGGTGGACAAATATGTCTCCAAAATTGAACTGAAACAACATATAAAAACGAAAAAGCTTTATTAGTTCTCACTTCAGGGCTTCCTGGTTAACAGAGCAGCACTCGACCAAAGGTTCTTCATACTCCTTTCCTTGCTATGTCCTGAGCAACACAATGGTATTTCCCAGGAAAAGAGACTGCTCTGAAAAGTGTCAGTTCTGCATGATCTTCCCATACATTCTCCCTGGAGAAATACAATTCTAATGAAAATTAAATGTGTGGGGAACAGCTCATGTTCCACTCTTACAATTTCAAATCCTTAAATGTCAATCCAGTTGCTCCAATCTCTGTGGCTTCTTACAGAGATAGAAATTCTTATGTAAAATAGGGGCTTTCAGACTATCTGCCTATGGGCATACACATTTTGGGAGATATCACTGAATAATTGTATCTCATAATAATGAATAAGCAAATCCGTGGAGATTCCCAGGGACTGGGAACAGCCAGCCATGTCCACACTAATATTGTGGATGCTCCCAACTGCTACAAATATTTTTGCCACTTTTTCCTGTGTTGCTTTCTACTGTAGAAACTCTTGACAATATCTGCTAAAGGAAGGATTCTCTCCCTAGTCAACAATTCTGGCTGCCAACTTTAAATGCTCCTTTGCAATTTAGAGGAAGCAAAGGTCACTGACTCTTGGGAAAGGGTTGACCTTCTCTGGGTGCAATGTGGAAGTGAACAACCACCCCTGAGGAAACAAAGGCTTGAGGTTTGTAAAAGCTTGAGGTTTGCAAGAATGCCTGCCAACACCAGGCAAAACCAAAGGAAAAATTTAAAGGAATTAATTCAATGAAAGTTCAAACCCTATTCTGTTTGGAAACAGAAACTGTTACAACAGCCTGTGTTGATATCTTGCTAGAAAGAAGGCCTGGCAACTCTGCAAAAGTCTTCTGCTTGACTTTGTGTCTTCTGCTATTGTATTTGTCTGAACAATTTTCTGTCCAAATTTTCTTACCTCCTCATCGTCACCCTCATGTCCTTCATGACCACCACTGCGGTCTCCCTGGGAAGATTTCTTGGAGTGATTGGTCTCCTGGCCATCTACCTCATTTTCACCTCCTGAGTTTCCCGAGTTGGCTTGAGAATGGATCTTTTAGAAACAAAATGCAGTATGTTTGGTTGATACCAAAATGAAGAAGTCCATGGCGCAGAACTCCCTCAATAACCTTGTGATAGGTAACAAGTGAAGGATTATATAATGAACACAAAGACAGTTTCAACAATAGTCATCATGGACCACAGAAATTGAATATTCCAAGTTAAATTGAATAATACCTAAATGCTTTCCATCCTAGAGCATTTTCCAGTGATTTCAACTATTTTGTAGCTAGTTTCTAGTGTCACAGTGCACTGTTTGAGCCCACCATGAGAAGACCCATCACTTTCAGCAAATTAGAAAACTGAGGTACTTTTAAAGATGATGATCCCAATTAGATGGGTGCAAATCAAAGGAATTAGTGTCAAGTGAAAGAGCAATGAAGCCTGAGAGGATCGTATGACTTGATGAAGGTCACACAGTTCTTGGACACAGGCAGAAATAACATTCAAAGCTCTTGATTCACTTTAAATTGACAAAAACCTCTTGGCAACCTCTCTGCAATTATTATTTACAGGACTTTCTTAAGAGGCCTGAACAACCGGATCTAATAGTCCTATTATAAAGCATAACCAAATAGAGACCTCATGGCTTCTGTCAGGCTCTGCCTTGTCACCCTTTATAGCCTCCAGCAGGTTTCATGGGAAAGGTCTCCTGACAATATATTGTTTCCTATTGCAGCAGTAATGATTGTCACACATGCTTTATCTTTGCTTTACCTGAATGTCAGCATAGAAAACAGACTTTGCTGCAAACATATAAATCTAGGGGAATGTAGGATGTGCTCAGACAGCTAACATATGAAAATTAGGAACAGAAATATGGGGGCACAATAGGAGGTGGGTAAAATCTGTCAGATGTTCCTGACATAAAACCAGGAGATGGAGTCAGCCATGTCAAGCCTTCATCCAAATCCCAGAAGAATGACAAAATAAGAAATAACAGTGCAGATGCAGGGCTGCAAAGGTCTCCAAGGTACCTGGCTTTCAATTATAGGTCAGAAGTGACTGGGTTGGAAAAGGTCAAGCAGCAAACCAGCATCTCTTTCTTCAAACGGAAACATCTGTGCCCTATAAAAGGTACTCCAGCCACTAACTCTGACTATAAAGAGAAGTAAATCTTGACTGACAAGTAAAGTCCTGTTAGTGTAGTAATGGAGAGAATTAATGATCAACTGGGAAACTGCAGCTGCCGCAGTTGTGTGTTGAGCTGTGGGCAAACCACAGAGCCCATGGGAAGGAGGGCTCTGTTAATGTGAAGGCAATCAATTAAGGAAGAAGGAACTACTGGAAAGCAGGCAACAGCTTTTAAATCCAGCCTCTCCTTCAAGCACTGTTGCTCTTTCCAAGGCCAGGACTTTCACAGATGTCCCATTCCTACAGAGAGCAAACTAACGGTTAGTGGAGATTGTGGACTGACAACTGAGGTCTTCCCTGTCTTGCTTTTACCAGCACTTCAATCTTTCTGAATCTTCTTTGGTTTTGGATACAACAGGTGAAAGAACTTGGCGTCGGCTTAACAAATTGGTTATGTGCTTGCCAGAAAACCTCCTGCTTCCAGGGAAATGTTTTCTTCGCTGGAGATACTTGAAAGCTGTCTGGACACAAACCTGAGTAATGAGCCCTAAGGGAACCCTGTTTCAGCAGGGAGTTTGGACCAGATGACCTCCAGTGATCCCTTCCAAATTTAGCCATTCTCTTATTACAGTTTAGATTGTTTAGACATACACATGTCCTGGACATATGTGACGTAAAGCACATTTTGAAATTGTCAGAGAAAGCCTGAGGTCAGAGAAATGTAGAATTACATCATTCCAAAGAGTTTTTGGGGTCTGTCTCCCCAGCTTTGTCTTTGCTGTACTGAATCCCCCCAACATCCCTTACCATGTGCTGCGCTTTCAGGTGGTTGGCTCGGAGGATGAAAGGTTTAATTAGGAGCATCCAGGGAACAGCAATCAGAGCAAATATGACCAAGAAACTCTGCACTTCTTTCTGAAACACAAAGCAACAAGAGCAAAAAGTTGCTTTACTTCATTTAGCCAACTATGTTTATGGTTAGAAACCTGAGTCTATATAATGGTAATTTTTTTAATACAACAAATACAATTCAACTCCCTGTTGTATTTGTTGTATTTGGCTGTGTATCCTCTGCTTGCGAGAACATGAAGATAAATGTATAGTGTTTAAGGCTCCAGAAAGCACATTCAGCTAGAGATGGTTGGAGACCTGCAGATGAAAGGCTTTCATGTTGAAAAGGGTTAATTTACCAAAATCCCATGCTACTGACTTGAACCTGGCTACTCAGTGTCCCAAGTCAATGTCCTAACTCTCTGTGAGTCAGTCAGGCTGCCTTGCTTTGATCAGTATAGAAAGGCTGCAGTAAGAGCCAAGTCATTCAAGTTTTGCCCTGGATTTACTCCACATCTGCAATTTCAGAAGGAATTCAACCCCATAGCTTAGGCTTGGTAACAGATTGTCCCCATGACATAAGGTATTATTACATTGCAGTATGGCACCCCTATTGCTGTCCTGACATAACTGTCTGTACTTTCAGAAAACAACAAAACAAAGAAAGAAAACCTTAAACCACAACCTCTGCATTTTTTTAAAGTTGGTTCAGATGTATGATCACTTGATGATTGGGCTCATACAATGTTTTCATTCAGACTACCCAGGCAGATAGCACATTCTGTTCCTGGTGTGGCAGGGGGACAGGAATAGAAGAAAAAAAATTGTCACCTTGGGAAAGCTTTGGGTTGTTATAGCAACCCAACAGTGCTGGTTGGTTGTCCTTTGCCCAGGACATGTTCACAGTTTTATCGAAAAACTTTTAAAAGGCTGGAAGACTGTGTTTTTCCAAACTCCCCTGAATCCTTAACACAGTTACTTGGAGCTGATCAGGGCTCTCTCCTAATTCTGACTCATCAGCTGTCCCTAAAATTGAGCTCATGTTGGAGTGCCCAGTGTGCAACGGTATAGATGTGGGTGCACACATGTGGCTGGATGCAGCACTTCCTTGCAGATTCTTTGCTGATGCTGATGATGTAAAATCAATAAAAAAGAAATAAAAAATCCATGTTCTGAGAATATAAATAGAGATGACTTTAAAACAGTTTTCTCTTAGGGGATATTTTTTTGCTTGCTTGTTTTTTCCTTTTTTTTAAGTGAACTCCCAAAAGGAGTTTATTTCTGACAAAAATCTGCCGGAAAATCCTCTAGCTACTTCTACATTTTAGGTGGAAATGTCAAGTATTAAAACTTTCCAAAGATGAAATAGGAATTTGTCTCATAGGAAGAAAGGGAGATGTCTCTAGCATTGTGACCAACTGCATGCCTGCAATATGCAGCTTTGTATGTCTAGTCACACTTTGATTTTTTTCCCCCCCAACAGTATCTTCAACTGCATCATTATTCTTGTCAGAATGACACTAGGAAAGATTTCCTCTGCATCACTGATTGATAGCTTCTTTCTCCTCCCTGTTGACAAGACCAACACAAATACCAGAAGAATAAACTTCTCTGAGTGACACTTGTGATTGAGCCTCTTAGCCTGAATCTTTATACCCATTTTCCACAACACCCACTGCAAATACAAAACTACAGCAGATTCAGGCTGCTTGATCCGTACCTGATGCTGATACAATGGAGCATTTGAACTGTCACTATAGTTGAACAGAAACATGTTGATAAAGTGGATGAGGATGCTTGGTGCACTCTGGGATGAATGGACATCAAAATGACACCACTTGAAAATAATCATGAAGACCAGGTAGCCAAAAAGAGAGATAATAAAAATCATCTCTGGAATGAACTGAAGGACAATGTTTATGTACTTCCTGAAGTAGCTGGAAAGAATCAAGAAAGAAAAGTAGAGTTAATACACTAGATAATAATACAAGTTCGCACCCAAGTCTGGCAGTACTTAGTTTCTAGAAAATAACCTAACAAATTTACAACTATCATTAGCCAAGAAATAAGTCCATAATTACAGGCTTTATCAGTGAAAGCCATTGTTCAAATACAAAAGCTCTGTTATACTGATTATCTTCAGATATTTGTACTTGACCTACCAGTATCTCAGCACCTCAAAAGATTATTACACTGAAATAATAGACAATTAAAGACAATTAAAAAAAAAAGTCTTATTTACGAAGTTGAGCATTATATACTGAGAAAAGCCAGGTCTAGTATCAATCATGTAGGGTCCTCTCTGTTCTCTCAAACACTTTCTGTCCTTGAAGGTGACTACACATATTGCAGCTTTGGAGAGTCTCTCAACACAATAGTGTCAGCCCCTGCACTCTATCACCATTTTTATTTGCTGTTGGAAAACATAGAGGCAGAGCTATAGGCAAGTGCACCCACAAATCCTGACTAAGCTAAGCTAGGTGGAATGCACACACTCTGCAAGATTTCAGTGTGTTTTGGTTTAGGCCAAAAGAGCTTGTCTTTCAAGAGAAAAGTAGTCAATAATGGGAGGTGCTACATCTTTTTAATTTGGTATGCTTACATATTTCTGCAGAATTGAGAATATAAGAAAGTAAGTTAAAAAGAGAGTTTATTGAAGAAAATACCTGCAATGTTCTGGCTGTCCTTTGGACTTAGCACTGTATATTAACCATTGTGCGAGTCAGCCAGTGTATGGGACATTTCTACTCACACCAGGGAAAGGTCAAAGTCCAAAATATGACTTTCTCTCAATGAAGGACAAATCACAGTTTAGTGATGAGGACTTGTGTGCTGCTGCAGAAACAGGCTTGCTGAATTGAACTTACATGTGGTTGAAAAGACTGAGTATCACCCCAAAAATCATGTGCACAATCCCTATGACAACCGACATCTTCATTTTGTAGGAGTTCAGGAAAGTCAGCTTGTTCGATGCAACATTCCAGATCTTTGGGTAAAGGAACAGGGAGAGAGAGAGAAGAACAAGATTTTCAGGTGTTTGATCAATAAAAGGTGCGTGGAAGTAGTTGCTTTGGCACCATCAATTTACTCCTCCCAGTTCTAGTAACAGGGTAGCAATGCACAGAAATCTAGATGTTTCTTTTATTACTTTTCACTCTGCCAAGGTATTAATCTAAAAATGTATAAAATGTTAGACTCATTTAACAAAGGAAATAACAAGCATTTTAAATGATCCCATGACTTTGCTTCAGTCCCCGAGAAACCACTGCAAAGGCTGGTAGCAGAATCTAGATATTTTTTGTGTCATTTTCTGTCTGTAGGCTGAGTCATCTTCTTTAGTAAAAGTGGAAAGGCATGAGAAAATCCCTCCTGCTGCAACCAAAATTAGTTCCACCCTCACAAGAGAAGTAGTGACGACAGAGCATTTTCAAACTTTTTGTTTGAACAGAAAAAACTCTTTTCAATTATTTGGCCATGGATATCAACTTATTGCCTGCCTCTCTGCATTAAATTTTAAGTTATGTTTGGACATACATCCCTTCTCAGTCCTGCCTTTTGTATACTACAGAGTTTCAGGGTTGCTTCTCCTTCCTTCTCAAACTTCCTAGACCCCAAAGTCTTCTGCCCTCAGACACAGTAAGTAGACACCACTTTTCAGACACTAAGTGTAGTACCTGAAGAGAAAGGAGGAAGAAAGGTTTATTTGGAGGGCAAAACATTAGCTTTTGCACGTTTGTTAGACATGCTTTGCCTCTTCTCTGGGTACCAAAGATACTGCCTAGCTTCCTCATCTCAGGGTGACTTCTTTTCCAAGATACACCTCAGTCATCCCAGCAGGATTTGCAAAATGCAAAGAGCCATCCATCCTTCAGGGCAGATGACACAGATAATCTCCTCAGAGACTGTCTGTAAGCTGGTGGTTCCTGTCCACTCCTTCTCTGCCAGCACTTGTTCAGCCATTCTTCCCTCCCAGCCAGGACTTTTATACTCTTGACCAGAGAGAAGCCAGGCTGGAAGAGGTAGTCTAGGTCAACCTAAATTAGAGATGCATCAGGGCAACATGCAGAAAACTCAGCTGCTTCTGACGTGATTTTCTGAACCAGACTGCCCACATCCTGGGCAAAGCTTTAGAGTTGAGTTTATAAAATCTGACTACAAGAGAAACATCTCTGAAAACCAGGGGAGGACAGAGATCCTTTGGGTGACTATTTGAAATGAGAGTGCAACCAGCAAGTATGGGGGTTATTTGACTAATATGAAGATTGAAACAGGAAAGCTTGATGTGGAAAAGTACATTTCAATACATGATAGACAGAATAGGAAGAAAAATTGAAATAGGACACAGAGAAGAAAATATGGCTAAGTTAAATAATACTGACATATATTTCACATACCATGCAACAAATAGACTGCATGAAATTTGGAAGTTTGCCTTCAAACTGGTGAGGTATCTCTGGAATGAGTTAAGTACTCAGGTAAGGAAACAGAGTCCAGCAGATATGTGGCAGAAAAGAGACTGTAGCACAAGACCACTCTCCAGGAAAATCAAACTTCTTTCCTGCTTACCATTTTGCTGCTGCCTGTGCAGAGCTGTTAGCAATATATTAATTGCTAATTGCTAAAGGAAAGCATCAGAAGGACTGATGAATGGGAGGGTGAGTGGTGGTTAATGAAGTTGTATTGAATAGTGTGGTACCTCAGCACAATGTAAATAGTACAGAATAAGGAGTAGAATGGGCTGATTTTGCCTGGGTTAGAGATGTTTTTCTTCATAGTGGCTGGTATGGGGGTGTATTTTGGATTTGTATATGCAGGGTAGATAGTATGGAGATGTTTTTGTTATTGCCGAGCAGGGTTTGCACAGAGCCAAGGCCTTTGCTGCTTTTCATGAGGCTGGTGAGGAACTGGGGGGTGCACGGGTGGCTGGGAGCAGACAGAGCCAGAGCAGGTGACCCAAACTGACCAAAGGAATATTCCAGACCATATCACATCATGCTCAGTGTATAAAGTGGAGGGAAGAGGGAGGAAGGGGGGATGTTTGGAGTGATGGCATTTATCCTCCCAAGTCACCATCATGTGTGATGGGACCCTGCTCTCCTGGAGATGGCTCAACTCCTGCCTGCCCATGGAAGAGATGACTTAATTCTTTACTTGTGTGCACAGCTTTTGCTTTCCCTGGTAAACTCTCTATACCTCCACCCATGGGTTTTCCAGCTTTCACCCAATTCTCTCCCTGATCCTGCTGGTGAGGGAGTGAGTGAGGGGCTGTGCAGAGCTTGGCTGCTGACTGGGGTTAAACCACAACAGATATGTAAGGAACAAAGAGCAAGAAGTGAAAAGCACAGGTTCAGGAAAGAGTGCAGGGACCTACTGATGTACCTGCTACGTAGAAACAGGATTGAAATACAAATTATCTTAGAGCAATTTAATTTAATTACCGGATCTATTCCAAATGGATATGGATTTCCAGAGTAGACTCCTGGGACTGCTGGATCCAACTGCAGCACTATATTGTCTAGAAGCACATCCTTACTACAAGAGAAAAGGGAAATGACCTTTGCAGCTTAATCTCTCCATCGAAGCCCACAGTATATTTATGTAAGGTGTGCTGAGGACTACCACAGGATATCTGTAGCTGACTCCAGCCTTTCTGTGACCTGTTATCCTGCACTTGTGTGCATGTAAATGGGCCCCACACAATGGCAGCCTCCCTCACACTGATAATTCTCTATGCATCAGTCCTGGACACCTGCAGATTTTTATGCACATCAGTGCCTGAACAAACAGGCGTGTTCCCGGGGACTCTACATTTCCATTTCAATAGTGAGTTCATCTGTGTGTGTCAGACAAAACCTCTGATTCATTCATGGCTGCATCCACAGCAGGGAGTCTTTCCCTTCCCCACACAGGCAGTCTCTCTTTCCAAGCCTACATGCTCCATTTGGTGTGTTTTTACTTCCTTCCTACAGTTAGCACTTACTTCCAAGTGTTATTTTTAAACATGGGGATGATATGCCAGGAAGAACCAAAGAAGTTGAATGATTTGGAGAAGCAGTCATTGTAGATGAAGCCAGTGTACATGGAGAATATGCCCATGAGCAGGATCAGGTAGCGCCCGCTGAAAAAGGTGTTCCAGATCTGCAGGGGGAGAAGGCAGTGCCAGTGACTAGAGTACCTGCAGATCCATCAATCGGTGGCCTCAACCAACAGCAGACATGATTGTACTTGTCTGTGTATATACAATTATTCATAGAAAATTTTGGGTCCCCTAGGCCCTCTGTATATGAGTAGGTAGACTTGCCAAAACCTCTGTCTCACAGGTGTCTTTGAACCATCTCCACACAGCCTTTGAGAGGCTGGATGTCCCCTTTACCCAGTGGGGCTGATGAGCCTCTGGTGCACCCCTGGTACTCACCTCATTAGTGCTTTTCTGGGCCAGAAGGCTTTTCTCATTAATGACCATCCAGAGAGCAAAGCCCAGCATGACAGCGCCGTGGCCACAGTCCCCAAACATCACCGCGAACAAGAAGGGGAAAGTAATGATGGTGTAGGGAGCTGCAGGAGGGAAAGGTCAAGAAGCTTAGCTCCCTCTAAACAAAAAGGCTTTATCAAAGAAGCAGTCTACTCCATCAGGCCATTCCTTACAGGTACTGCCCTAAAAGGTCTCCTCAATTCCTCCCCTATACACCAGGCAGTTTTACCATCACAAAGGCTGTTCAACTGTATGGCCTGTACCTTCCTTGCATTTTTATCCATTGTTTCTTGCCTCACCATAATAAACAACATGTGTAGACAACTGCATTCTGTTTTGCAACACAAAAATGTATTTGAAGGTTACTATCATGTTTCTCAACCTGCTCAGCTTCAACAAATTGAGTTAATCTCACCCTTTCACATAGGTTCCCATTTCTAGGTTTCCACTAATTCTCAGTGGTCTGAAATTCTCTACCATTGTTTCAAACTTTTGTCAGGTCCTTTTGGCCTTCTTTGCCTCAACACAGTGAGCTCAACTTACATTTCCCTTATGAGCTTAGTTCTTTTCCTCAGAACAGCTACCTCACCATTTGTTCTCCATCCTGTATTTGAATAGTTCCTTATTTCCATCACAATGATTCATTGAAGACCAACAGCCAAATTATTTGCTGAGAAAATCCATGCCTATACACGAAACAGCTCCAGTATGGTTCAGATTTCTCAATCAGCAGCGAGTACATTTTTGAGGATAGTGAGAGAACTGAAAAGTTTTACTTTAGCTCATGCAAACCAGATGCATGTAGTTGAGTGTTTCTCACCTGGGTTCATCTCCCTGTAGTTGCCTACACCATATGCATCCACGATATTCTGAAATCCAGCTGTGAACTTGTTGGTCCTGTTGAAGGTGGGTGGTGCCATCCTGGTGTGTATGGCAGTGAGGATGGGGGCAATTGTGGAGCCACTGCGTTCCTGCAAACAAGGACAGACACTGAGTAGATAGAAGAACTGGCCCCACAACGCCCCTTCTGGCTCAAGGGTCTGTCACTAACCTGCTAACATTTAATGCTGACCTTAAGCTCTGTCAAAAGATGAAAGGTCAAACGACAATGGGACAACCTCACCTTAAAACAGGAAAGGGAGCCTCACATTACAGTAACAAACCTGTCTGAACATATGCTCAACATATAAGCAATTCAGTGCAGGTGAGAGACTCAAGGACCCAACATGTTGCTCTCTTACCATTCCTTGATGGAGAGCTCTTTTTATCCGGTCAGCATCAGCCACTGGGAACCAGATCTCTGCAATGACACACTGCTGGGTGACGTCGATGTTACAGCAATTCAAGATGTGGTAGATGGCCTTGATTTTCTTCACCTTGATCCCCCAGGACCACAAGTTGGCTGCTGCCTCATGCAGCAGTCGCTGGCGGTGGGACTCGGTTTGTGTTATCACCTGTAAGCACAACACAGGGCAACATTCAAGATAGGGAAGCACAAGGAGCATGATCTACTCAGTTAATTGGAGAGGGCAGGTGGAAGAGGGCTGATGAAAAGAAGCTGTCTGTATGAATGTGTGGGGTATCCTGGAGAGCAGTGTCTGCAGGTGTGGACACAGGATCACTCAACACCAGGTGCACAGTGCTGCTCACCAAGAATTCTCCCTGCATGGTCCTGAGGCACTGTAAGTGTGGAGGGGACCATGGGAGTTACTGAGCTGTGGGATTGGCTCCCTACCCAGTTGCTTACAGACTGGCAATATCTCACCATGTGTTCCCAAGCTGCCATCTCCTGCAGGCAGCTCTGTGCCACAAACCTGGGGCATACCACACCCATGAGTAGAACTACAGTTCTTTGGACCTCCATGCATCATGTGGCCACCACAGTGCTGCTGTGCAAATGAACAATGGAGATAATGAGATAAGGTGTCAAGAAGATAATCTGTGTAGTCTGCAACATGGTTTCAGACAGGACATATATCTGGGCAGGTCCCACTTGTAGGGTTCAGTCCTCAGTAAAGCCACTGCCACTTACTGTGTTTAAATCCTCGATTCTTGTGTTGACTCCATCAAGCATTTCTCGGCGCTCAGTGGCAGACTCTGGACAAGGATAGACTGTGGCACGAAATCTAGCCTCATTAAGAGAGAGTTGAAAAACACCAGTTATTTGACCGAGTTTTCTTCCTCTCTACTCTTCTCAGCTCAAAGGCAGGGAAACTGGACTTCATTCCTGACCCAGCAGTATACTCACATACCACAAAGTTGCACTTGGTCTCACAGAAAGGTGCAAATACTTTATCCTTTGATGAGAATAAGGATCTCTTTGCCTGCTCTAGCTGAAAAACCCTCCTTGTCTTAGGTGATACAAGGACCTGATGTCATACAGAGGTCATCACTAACGTGTAGGCACCTCCCTTCTGTCCACAAGCTGCTTGAATTGCGAGGAGACGCAAGAAAATCCCACCCTGACAAAGACAGCGTCGCTAACGCAGTAGCCAACAGATGTCCCTCTTGCACCGAGGTTGGAAAATACCATGTCTGTCTCTGCGCTTCTCTGCACTACCCTCCTGCAGGCACTGGGAGAAGCATCACTGAGCCACTGCTGCACTGCAAGCAAACGCCCTTTGTGCGGGCAGGCTGTGTAAGTAAATAACCTTGTAAAAACAAACAAGCGAGCAAGCAAACAAACAAAAGGACTGTATTTCTAGGATAAAATAGGAGAATGGCTGTATTTTTTGGTCCACCTGCTTGGCTAGACACCCTTGGAACAAGAAAAGGATGGGTAAAGGGTTTTAAACGCCTGAGAGCGGTATCTGTTACATCAGCTTAGATAAACAGTATAAAAGCTTTTATAAGCTTACCTCCAAGGTTCTGTTTGGAAGATTCAGTGGGTTTGTTTAATGTGGTATAAGAAGAACTAATGTGGAATTCTAACGTGAGTGAAGGTCTTAGCTCCATGCAGGTACTGCTTCAGCTGTAGCACGGAACTCAACGTGCTCTAGCACAGCTGCAGGTCACTCTGGTGTAAAGGTGCTTCCACCAGCACCGCACACTGCACTGTTGTACACTATGATCCCAGCACAGACAATTAGAAATGAGTTGTATGTCTCTCTGAGAAGTGTGCAGCTACCTGTCCTACCTGCAAAGCAAATCCCAGAGTACTCTTTATACACACAGCAGGCACAAGGAGTTCCCCCGGGACCTTACATGCCACAGGGTGCACTGCTGCTGCTCTCTGCCCACAAGGCTGAGCTGAGCTGAGGCACTGCTGGAACTATAATAGCAGACATCCCTCCTTTTTTTTTTACTGCTTGGCTTGTTCAGCGATATCTACTGTAAGTGCCACCCTGCCACTTTGATACTGCCCATCAGATCTGCAGGAAGAGATCTTCCCTCTTTGCAGAGCAGAGATCTTCTTCCCCTGACCTAAGGCAACACATTTCCAGCATCCTGCCATAGATATGCTGAGCTAGGGCTGCTGAAGGGTTGTCTTTCTGCACGTGAGATGAATTAAAAGATGTAACAGGGTCATAGGGGTCTATCCCTGCTTAAGAGACAAAAATGTACAGGCTCTGTGTACAGATAAGCATCATACTCTGGCTTTGTCTGAGCACGGGATATTTTACCACCTGCTCTACAAAATCAGTTCCAGCACACATACAAGTGAGTACAGTTGCAAATTGAACAAAACATGCTGCAGTTTCCTAGAGATCGGTCCAAAGCTGTATGTAATGACAGCACGTGCTCTTCAGCTAAACTTCCCTTACCAGAATTGAATTTCTCCTCACTCAACACCTGGTATTCATTTCCAAAGGTTATTCACCCTACCTAATTATTTCCATCTTCTTATTCTTCACAGCTCTTAGTTCATCTTTAATAAGGATTTTTAATCAAACTTGAAAGCTCATTCCTCCATGCTGTACAGTTCCCCCATCCCCAATAACGTTATTGCAGCAGTGCTGCTTTGATCTTTTAACAGCCATTTTGCATACTGAGTATCAGCTTTGCCCTAATGGCACAGACATCTCTGAAAGCTCCAGGAGAATTCAGCAGGGAATCCTTACATTGATAAACTCAGCTTAGTATTCACATTAGTACTGAGGCAGCCGCAAGAAAAGGAGAAAAAGAAAAATTCTTACGTTTTCCTCCTTCCTGCTCCCTCTACACCTTTCACTAATAAATTTGTGCATGGACTTAATGTTCATGAAATTGGCAGACTAATGTTACCAATTAGAGTCAAGCAGGGACTACAAGAGTAACCTGAGGCACACAGCTCTGCAAACAAATCTTGCCTTGCAAGCCTTGCAGGAGGCTGGCTTAGACCAGTCCCATGATTTTTGCAGGATATTTACTTGTCATGAATGATGACTTAGTGCTAAGCAGAAATATCCTGCTGGGGCTGGAATGACACTGCCATCTGCTTTAGGTATAGTCAAACCTGCCTTAAAGGTGGACCAGACTAAAATGTCTTGGCCTGGGTACCAGGGATGGCTGATGGCCCACAGAGCACAAAAAGAGTGTCAGAAGATTGATACATTTAGAAATCTGCCACACAGGAAAAGATCCATATAGATGGGCATATTAGCAACCAAAAAATTTGAAAGGAAGAAGGAATAGAAAAGATGACTTCATTAGCACTGCAAAGAGTCTTCTCTGGATTTGTCTTTGGTATGTGTAGTTTCCTTCAGTTACAAAGACCTGAGAGAAACCAGTCTAAGTTCCTTCCTATAAACCTACGACCACATACATCTGCAATACTAGCTCCTAGAAACCTTGCACACCACAACCTCCCTGTAGGGATCTGCTCACGTTTCCAGCATTGCCTGACCCCCAGCTGCAGAAGGTTGTGCCTATGGTTTGGGTGATTTTTGTCAATCAACAATGAATATGTTGACAGGCATTGCGTTATTTGTCCTTTTACTCCCATCCCAGAAAAAAAAAGGCTTTGGCTTTTGACTGCAGGGAATTTTAAATGCTGCAGAGGGAAAAAAAAAAGAAAGAAGACATCCAAAATGAAGAGCTTTCAACACTCTGTGGGCAACCCCAGCCAGTTCTAAATGTATGACCTGGTGATTTCTTCTTGCAAGGCCATCGGCACAGGGGAAAAGCCAATGGGAAGCATTCCCCACCAGCAACTGCCCATGCAGAAGGGGAGAAGGAGTCTGAACAGCACATAAAAAGCAGGCAAAGAAATGGGACGTAAGAGGGGCATGGGCTTGATGAAGCAAGTCCAAAGGAGGCCCACGAAGATGCTCAGAGGGATGAACCACCTCTGCTATGAGGAAAGGTTAAGAAAATTGGGGTGTTTCAGCCTGGGGAAGGAAAGGCTCCAGAGAGACCTTACCACAGTCTTCCAGTACCTAAAGAGGCCTACAAGAAGGCTGGAGAGGGGCCTTTTACAAGGGCATGAAATGACAGGACATAGGGAGAATGGCTTTAATCTGAGAGTAGGTTTAGGTTGAATATTAGGATGAAGCTCTTTACTGTGAGGGTGGTGAGGCACTGGCACAGGGTGCCACAGAGAAGCTGGGGATGCCGCATCCTTGGCAGTGTTCAAGGCCAGGCTGGATGGGGTTTTGAGCAACCACATCTACTGGAAGGTGTCCCTGCTTATGGCAGGGGAGTTGGAATGAGATGATCTTTAAAATTCCTTCCAACCCACCTTATTCTATGATTCTATTATATGCAGGAAATTGAAATCCAGAAAGAGGATGAGGCTTGCTGAAAACTCAAAGACCACTTTGGCAGCAGCAGACTGATCCTGCACAATGGCTATGGCAGAACTCCCTGTATGTCTGAGCTTCAGGATCAGAAATCAGTGACTGAGAGCTGGGAGTCTTCCCTCATGTCCATGACTGCTTCATAGACAGATGCCCACCTCAGGAGGGCTGAATTTCCCTCTGGATGGGAAATTCCTTGGAGGGCCCCATTTGCAATGCAGGAATTGCAAACAGACCCCAGGGTTCTGTCACTTCTTGGGACTGAAGTCAGTCATACCAGCTGGATGAAAGATCTACCTGCTTTTATTCTGATTAAAGACAGAAAGACCTGCCCTGAGTGCAGATGTCAGGGAAGAGCAATTGCTCAGCCTCTCCCTGCAGGCTCTTGGCAGGCCTTGCCTAGCTGAGGGACTGTACCTGAAATGGGTTTGGTGACAGCAGACAGATCCTCTCATCAAATCTGATTTACACTGCAACAAAGCTCATTGGTCATCAGTGTTATGAAAGAGTAACAAAATATTCAACCTGAATTATCTTTTCAAGATGCTTAACAGGGTGGAAACAAGTCAGGGTTATGAAGCTTTCATTTCTCTCCTGGGCTCTGTCTCTGATTACACAGATATTTCTCAAAGGCCTTGGGAAAGGGCTGAATAAACTATAGCATCATCTTTTATGTAGAAATGTAGGATGGCTTGAGAGCAAGCTGAGGATTACCATGTTTCCAGTGCTCAAGTTAGGGCCCTTGATTTTCAGTGGAAGAGTGCTGAGTATTTTTTAAACAGTCCCCTTTTAGATGTCCCAAGTAAAAAACCTAACAGCTGAAGCTCTCAAGAGCTGTACGCCACTTTGGAAAATGTAGGATCTCAAGTTCCAAGTGCCAAGGTGATGGATGCCTTTCATCTTTGGGAGTAGCAGAGCTGAGGAGGGGAGGGGAGGTTGGCTGCAGAGCTTACAGCTGGAGATCTGATATCTAGCTCCAAATTCAGTCAGCCCGGACTACCAGTAACCACCTCTAGGGCAGTCATTGTGACTTGTCCACAGGCCTTACCCATCACAAATCTTCTTGATTTTTTGTTTAAGCTGCTCTCCTTGATAGAAGATAATGAACACATTCTTCTTCACTTCTTCTCTCTGCAACACACAATTCAAGCAGAATTTAACTCACACAGAGTCCAGTGCAGAAAAGTTGGTATCATTTTTTTTTTGGCAGCCTCTCCACTGGTTGTTTTATCCCCAGTTTCCCATCAGCAATGTTTTCCCCAGATGCTCTTTCAGGAAACAGGCATGGGCAGCAGCTCTGGGTTATGGGGGAAGGAGCAATGTGGAGCAGAGGGGACATGGGGCATGGGGCTCACCCCAGAGACACCAAGGGGAATTGACCCTCCATGGCTACTTCCAGGTAGGGACAGTCCCAGTCCACTTCCATGGATCCCTGGATTCCATGGTATTCCGTGTAATACAGCTGCCCTGTGAGGCCTCATGTGCATCTTGACAGGCAGGAAAAGGAAACCACCTCAACAGTAGCAAAAGGGAAAAGCAATGTCAGGGAAACTTCTCTCATCCTCAAACTGTCCCACACTCGCCCACAGGCTGCCTTCAGACACTGAGCTCTGGAGAGGCAGCCAGTGCTGCAACACCGTCCAGGTCACCAGTTTTGTGTCTGCAGGTCACAAGCATCCACACAGGGCAGAGGAAGGCACGACCAGGTTGGTACCTACTGTCACAGGGTCCTCCATGGGGGTGTCCATTTCTGTGTACCTCAGGTAGATATTTCCCCTGCAGGCTCGCCACAGCAAACGCTCAAAGGGGATCATCCTTTCCCTTTTTATTACCCCTGCTGTGAATCTGAGCAGAGTTACAAGATAAATTAATTACAAGCTCATTCCATATTCCATGCCTTCTAAGACCTGTAGCATACATGATTTCACAAGCTCTTGTTTTCTAGTCTGTGTTAACCAGGGCTCTGCTGCTGCTGCAGGCACTTCTAGGAAACCTTCCCTGCTCAAGCCTGACTTTTATCTCAGTCTACTGACCTTATCCTATGGTTCTTTCTTTAAAAAAGACAAAAACCAAAAAACAACAAACAAATTTTCCTAGATCAACAGGTGATGGTGAAGAGAAAATTCTGGCTAGAAATGGAAGAATGGAGAGATGCCTAAAGTCACACAACAAGAGTGTTAGAATGGCAGAGGGAGGAGGTAGAAATTTTGAAGTGTTGATTTATCTTTACTCTCCTGTTTTCCTTTTCTGAGAAAGCATCAGACTGCAGCCCAGTGCAGTACCATGGCTTTTTCTGTGGTTAGACATCCATACATGAGGACCAGGCTGGTAGCCAGATGCCTGAGTCCAGAAGCCATGGGTGAGATGCCTTAAAATAGCAATTTTCAGTCAATACCTACTAAGGGATCACTGGAATTGATGGCCCGGAAGCAGAAGTCCATTTTTCCCACTGACCCATAACCTGACCATAGTTTTGATTACAGTTTCTGAGGACAGTCACTCTCTATCTTCATGAAACAGCTGTGCAAAGGAGGCTGGTGAGCACCCTCTGCTAAAAAGCTGAAGGAAGCTGTGCCAGTGTCACAGCAATGCAGCACAGGTGGGAAGTCTGGCCAAGCTGGAGGCCATCCCCAATACACACCCCAGCTTGGCAGCTGCAGCAGCAGGAGTGCTTCTCAGCTCCAGCAGCCCAGATGTGTCCTCACTGAAGAAATCATCGGGCAGATTAGTTTCTGCCTGGAAAACATTAGTTTTAAAAAACACTCTTCAGCATTGCCAGTTTGAAAACTACTTTCACATTTTTCTCTTAAAGATTTTCCCCAAAGGTAGCTTTCCATGGAGATTTATAAGACCAAAGGAAAACCAATAAAAGTAAGCTATATCTTAGCAATGGAAAAGCATAAATGCTATTTTCAAAGAAATATGTGAGCTAAGTTTTTAAGCCCCACCAACTCACAGAGCAATGCAGTCCAAAGTGAGTGGCATGTTTTTGCAAATCTCATCATGGCTTGTGATAAAGATCACTAAAAGCAACATACACCTAATGAAAGTGCACGTATTTTTAAGAACCTTCCACCTCTCTGTTGGAAGAGCAAAGAGGCCTCTCACCTCGAAGAAGTCTTGGGTTTTCTTCAGCAGATGTCTGAGCTCTGTGAGCTCAAGGAAGTTCTGCTTCAGTGTTTGCTGGTTCTGGTTGGCCTCCAGCAGCTCAGCTTCAAGTTTCTCCAGCACTGTCTGTTTAGGGTCCAAGCACACCCAGAAAAATTCAAGCAGATCAGTGGCTCTTTCCCAAGCTGATACCAAATCTCAAACAGCAGTGGTTTTTTTGGTTGGGTTTTTTTTTGTTTGTTTGGTTTTTTTTTTTTTTAGAGGGAGAATACAGAATTATTCAACAAACACTTTGATGAACACTTTTTGTAGGAAGATATTAATCATGCCAATGAATCATTTTTCCATTGCAAACATTCCCTGATGGGTGTGTTGTCCTCTTCTGGCACTGGACTGGCTGGGTATCTCTGTGGTTCCTCACAGACATCTCACACCCCAGAATGACTGGCTGTCATTTTACTGACTACAGAGGCAACCTACATTAGTTTAGGTTCATTAGCTATAAGCCAAAAATTAGGGGATGACATGGGGCCAGGAATACACCAGGAAACCAAATTGCTTGTGAAGCTGAAGCCCTTGGAAAGCTTGATTTTCCTTTCTAGTCAACTACATATGCAGTATTTTAAAATTACCCTGTTAGTAAGCTTCGCTACCAGCTGGGCTAGAATAAATCATCCCTTGCACATCCAAAAGGGAGGCCCAAGTATTTGTGCCAGGCCCCAGTGTCACAGCCATACTCCCATCAGGACAGGCAGTCCTGGGATTTTTATGCAGTGAAGTGGGTTATAACATCAGGTCTCTTGGTAAAACACCAAACCCTTCTTATTCTCTCCTATAGGATGATGGGGACATTCTGTGAAAGTAATACTTTTTCATTAATATCTGGGACCAGAGGGGTTTCACATGGCATGGTAAAAATACTGGGCTCCTTTAGGAACCTGCAGCAGGAACAGCCTCAACCTAAATGCTGAGGCAGCAACTTGGGGAGCACCCCCTTGGGCAGGGAGAGTTGTGCCAGCCTCAGGCACCAGACTCTTCCTTTCAGGGAGGGCTCTACTGAGCACATTACACAGACAGCCTGGTGCACAACCCTCTCCTGGGTCCACTCCCAATTCTGTACCTCCATATCAATCATTTCCCGAGGCAAGGGTGTCTCTGGGTACTTTTCTCCTTTGACTACCTCAACATTATCTTCCATCTCATTTTCCAGAAAACCTGCAAGGAAAGGGCACAGGAGTCTCAACACAGAATCATCCCTGGTGCATCATCCTGGTCAGGACCAAGGCATTCCATGGAGCTGTGACAAAATTAAATTATACATGAGGGTAATCATCCCAGTGCATATACACAGCCACCAAGGAATGAACACCCCCAGCCTCCTTTCTCAGTGGAGGTGCTGTTTCTTCTGAAGTCACAGTGCTCATTCCCATGTGGGCAGCCCTCAACCCTGGCACAAGTGGTCACCATGGCCACCTTTATTTGGGGCAGTGAGTAAGGCATTTAGAAAGCTCAGGTTCCACTGCTTTGCCCAACAATGCCAAGTGCTGCCACCATGGGTACAGTGGGCACCAGCATTGTGGTGAGGAGAGTGCAGAGCTTCCAGAACATCCACAGGACAGTGGGAATCATGAGTTCTGCTGCTTGGGTTTTAAGGACTTATCCCAAGGCTGAAGCCCTTGGCCAGACGTGTGTGCCAACACCTGGTGCATTGGTGTAAGAGCCTCCTGCCCAGCCCCAGATACAGCCTGTGATTTTACAAAAGCTAATTAACAGTTTTAAGTTCAGTTAACCATTTTCAAAACAAGGGCAACAAATTATTGCCCATATGGGGTGAAGTGGTAATTAGCTGACGCATGGAAAACATTTCCAGGGGCTCAGATGAAAACATCACCATTTTGCCACTAATTCTGCTCCCCAGTGTGAGAGCACTTAAAGAAATAAATCCCACACCACCAGTTGGCAGGAAGCCAATTGCATTTGACAAGCGTTTACTTACGCAGGATTCTCTCCAAGGATTCGCACCTTCTCACTTCATTCACAAACTTTCTCTGGAAGCTGTTGACATTCACATTCAGCTAAAAACAGGAGGGAAAACAAGCCTGGGGCTGAAGGCTGCACAGTGCTGTGCTCATTTTTGAGCACCAGCAGAGAACGAGTGCCTCGGCGTGGATGGCAAACACCACTGTGTCTGCAAGGTTCCTACGGCAGGGCAGTGCTGTGGGCTTCCTCATGGCCCAGGAGCTGGTGGCCTTCCCCACAACCTTGCTGTGACAGCAGGGGTGACAGAGGGGCCTCCATGGAGACACTTCCCGTGTCCTGGTGATGCAAAGGATTGCTCTAAGGTTGTGCAGGGGGCATGCAGAACACTGGGTGGGGACTCAGGGATGGGTGGGGTCTTGGTGTGATGTTTGGATTTCAGATCAGCCTTGAGGAAATCCCGCTCTCACCATGGACTTTTTTGCTTCCCTACAGGTGCATCTTTCCCAAGTGCTTTGAGGGAAGGACAAGCACACCCTGGGGCACATCTGCAACAGCTCAGCACGCCAGCCAGGCACTACTCACATCTCTGAACTGGACCAGCCCCAGCTCCCCGAGCTCAGCCACGCAGCAGTAGGCAGCCTCCACCTGCAGGAAGAGCTGCCTCAGGCTCATCTCCTCACTCCGGAAGATGGAGGCCATCCTGCCCGCTCTTCTCTGGCCTGGAAGGCCCTGGGAGTCCTCGTGGTAGCAGCACGGTATTCCTTGCCCAAGGAGGTGCAGGAAGGTGCCGAGCTCTGCAGGAACATCAGGGTCACTGAGTCAAAGTGCTGGGAGATAACCCAGTGCTGCCCATCACATCCTCCTAAAGGGTTCCTTCCCCTTCTAAGAGCCTCCTTGAACCCACATGAGGCTTCATCCCACCAGAGCAGTGATAGATGCTAAGGTGTGTGTGTGCCACAGAGAAAGGGGAGAGGCACCAGTCTCCTGAGACAAATGATGAGCAAATACCCTGCCCTGTCCTCTGCTGGACCTAAGCACTTCAGACCACTGCACTCATGCTCTGTGATTTGGTTTTGGATGCCGTGATTGAAAAGAACTCGATTTCACTTTGCCTTAAACACACAGACAAAAAAACCTCCAAAAGCAACAAACTCTGATAATTTTACCTTGCAATTAGACAAGTGAAAGAGGCCTGACTGGTTTTTTATCACCGTTGTTGATAGTGTGAACATTGCAAAACCATCTGGAGCATCTTATATGGGCAAAAGAGCAAACTATTTTCTTTAAATTAAAACAACCTTTACGATTTCAAAATAATTTGAAATGGACTGTTTTCAAAATGAGATACATGAAATAACATGCATTGCATAAAATTTCCTCTCATCTCTATGCTTATTATTATTTACTTTGAATAACCTGAACATAGAAATTGTCTTTAGTTGTTCTCACACAAAATTAACTCATCAGCATGCACAAACACAGCAATTATCTTTTTCCAGAGAAAAACATGCAAGTAAATACACTTCTTGCATGCATTTAATTTTGTAGCAAGTGTATGTTTTATAAATAGCAAAACAAAATCCCTTCATAACCTCACTTCTACTTGTTGACAAGGGTAGCAAGTTAATTATCTTTAAACTCTTCTGTTGCTATGAACCCTATCTTTCAGCATTGTTTTATAAATTGTGGATTTTGTGAATTCTCTTTATAACATACAAAAAGATTAATCTTAAATATAAGAGAAGCATTTCAAGATATTAAAGGCTTGTTTAACAGGAGCATGATAATCATAGATCTGTATTTGCTCAAATGTCCTGGGAATTTTTCTTCTCCTAATCTCTGTATCCATTCACTTGAAAATTTAGGATGCTGGAAATACAATGTTTGATAACTAATAGCTTGTTAAAAGAAAATATCATGTGCCAGCTTCAATGGATTGAGTATATACATTTTTTATTTCATTGGAGATTTTTGAGCAAACTGTCTTTTTCACTAGAGAAAAAGACAAAAGCTGCAAGAGACTCACTACTCATGCAAAGTAAATCTGAGGTAAGTAAATAAAAAAGTGTCCAATCCTAATTTCTTTAGACTGAAAAGTGTGAAGAAATTATAATCTGAAGCAGTTTGTATTTCTAAACCTGCAGTTAGCTTCCATTAAAAAAAATGCTAAATCCTTAGAAATAATAGAACAAAACTCTAATAAAATATTTAGAAAGACCCTAATTAAGCAGCTTCAAACCATCCAAAGCCAGGGTTCTACTCTTCCTTGGTAATCTGTCGGGGAAAATTTCAAAAGCTCCCTTTCATGTTGATTTGGAATGAGAGAAATACCTACTCCAAGGAAGGCAGAACTTTCAGCCTTCAATTATTCCTACAGATGAAGAAGGCTTGCCCAAAAGCACCTGCTGGCCAGCAATACTTCTGTCAAAATCACCTCCCCCCTTCCCTACTCTCCTTTCCCCCCAGTTTTTCCTTTGGCAGAAAAGCAGTTAATGGAGAAATCCCTCACATTTCCCCCGCCGCTCTTGCCATTAAAATGCCTGAAACCGCTCCGGGTTTGGGCAGGGCAGCTCTCAGCGCTGGGAGCTGCTGCCAGAAGTGGAGAAGCGCAGGAGGTGCAGAGGTGCAGAAGTGCAGGAGGTGCAGAAGTGCAGGAGGTGCAGGAGGTGCAGACGTGCAGGAGGTGCAGAGGTGCAGGAGGTGCAGAGGTGCAGGAGGTGCAGAGGTGCAGGAGGTGCAGAGGTGCAGGAGGTGCAGGAGGTGCAGAAGTGCAGGAGGTGCAGGAGGTGCAGAGGTGCAGAGGTGCAGGAGGTGTCCCCCGGCTTTACCTGTCAGCCCCGCTCCTTTCCGACAGCCCCTCTCCCAGGGCAGGGCCGAGCTGTCCCTGGCTCGGCCGCTGTCCGTCCGCAGGTGACAATGACAGCAGGGCTCTGCAGCGGAGCCGGGAGGGGAGGGCAGCCCTGGCCAAACGTCCCGTCCCACCCAGGGCACGGCAAACCTTTGCTTTTAAGGTCAGAACCGGTCTGGACCAGAGAGGGGAAACCCTTTCTGTCCCAAAACACCACTCCCCGGGCGGACGGCGCCGAGCGCTGGCTCGGTCCCCAGGGCTGTGCCAGGGCTGTGCCAGGGCTGTGCCAGGGCTGTGCCAGGGCTGTGCCAGGGCTGTGCCAGGGCTGACACAGACGGGACAGCCCCGCTGCCACCGCCCCGGCCACCGAGGGCAGCGAGCTCGGGAGCCGCTGTGTCCAGCGCGGACACTCCATCTGCCAGCTGGGATGGAGGGGCAGCGGCCAGCGAGGTGGGAAAGGCTTGTGCGCGGCTGCTCGCTGGTTTTTCCTCGCTGAAGGCAGTCTGGGAAAAGCCAGGCAAACAATGAGAGATTAATGATTTTCCTGGCGCAGGGGACGGGCAGAGCAATAGAACAGGGAGAGGGCTGGGAGGGCAAGGGCTCTGTTAACCGGGGACAGGGCTGACAGGGAACTTGATTCTCACCCCTTGACATAACAAATGCTGCGGGGGGGAGGAAGAGGCTTTATAGAGTCTCTGCCACTTCAGCCTCTAAAGCAAGGGCTCCAGAGAGAAATTGGGCCCCTCCTAAAATGCATGGTTTATCTCCCACTGATGAGGCAGGGTTTCAAAAAGGCTGGCTGGGGCACTACAATCTAGCACCCAGAAGAAAAATTTCCTTTCAAAAGAAGAACTAATGAAAATGCATGGCTATATGCAAATTGTAAAGTACCCTTAAAGAAATGCTTTCTCAGACTTTTTCTTTTGGAGGTACCCAGTAACCCTGGCCCAACAAGCCAAAGGGTTTAGTTAGTCCATGGGAACACTGCCAAAAAACAAGCAATAGTAGAGGGTTTCCCAGCACAGGGGTTTTCTATTCAAAAGCAACAGAGTCGCCCCACTTCACAAAGTCAGCTTGATGAGAAGGGTCCTGCCACTTCTCAAGTCCAGCTGTTTCAAACTATGTGATCCAAAAAGGAGATATTATAAATTACAAGGTACTTTTGAAAGGTGGGCCTAAAACATGCATTTTGCTCAGCAAACCCCCCAGATGAACTGGCTGTGGGGCTCCCTGGGCTCCCAGCCCCTTTGGCTGCACTGTGTTTCTCCTGGACCAGCCACTGCCCACAATCAGCTCTGCTTTCTCTATCAGTGCTACCAAAACAAGGGATTAAAGTCTGATGAAAGTCAGCACCTTCTGCCAGGAAACTGGAAGTTTCCTTGATAAGGCAGACGTGAAGTCACTGCCATTGACCATGTGAATGCCATGCAGGGCTGTGGAGAAGTTGGTGTGGCAAAGGAACGACTTTGCCTTCCAGCCCATGCAGTGACACTAAACAACAGGAGTCATCATTCAGTTCCAAACTGGTGCATATTGACACAACAAAATTAAACAGCTTCTCAGGCTACTCCCCTCACCTCTGAACCGCAGCACATTCTTCCCCCTGTGTTCAACTGATGACACCAGGCTTTGCTTCCTCTTTGCACCTTTGCTGCTCTTACTCAGCCCCCAGCTACACTCAGCTACTCCTCAAAAAGCTTTTGGGGCTGGGGGAGAAAAGGGGCCCCCAAAGCACACTTCATCACCAAAGCAAGCTGCAGTAAGCTGGCTGCTCCATCCTGTTAGCCAAGGAGTGAGCAGAGATGAAGCTGTCTCTGCTGCCCTTCCCCCACCCTTCCCGGGTGAGAAGCAGAGAGGAGAGAAGAAAGCATATCCTATTTCATGCCTCTGGCATGTGGAAGCAAGAACATTATTTTATAATAATCCTATTAATGCAGATGAGATGATGATGGCTGGCCATGAGGCACCATTTGGAGAAGCCCCATCAGTGGGCTCTTTGTTGGTGCAGGCAGCTCTGCCCAGGAGAGCTGAAGGCAGCCTTTCTCTGAGCCCTTCACTGCCTGGCTGATCTTGAGCCCTCTCACTGGGGTCTCCAGATGAACAGCATGGGGTCACAGTAGGGCCACAGGCTCAACATTTGTCTAATACATTTGTCTAATACCAACCCCAGCCTGGACTGGAGAACACAAAGGGCAGGGTTGTGTGGCTTTCCAAAATCCTGGACTTGCTTTCCTCTGTGTGACAGAAAGCAAATCCCCTCTCCCCTTCTTTCTTTAAAGAGTACAACCTTTGTGGTTTTGACTTTTGTTTTTGTCCGAGTTTTAAAAATCAATCCCCTCCCCCGTTCACAGGTAGCTTTATCTTGGATGGCTTTTTTTTCACATCAATGAAGACAGCAAACAAATTTACCTCCTCCCTGATGGACATATTATTGGCAGCAGATATAAGATTTTGAGCTTTTTTTTTGCAGCAGCAGAGTTGATTTGGAATGGAAAATATAAACCAGTTGCCTATGTAAACACAATATGTATACACACACACACAGAGTGACTGAGTGTGTGTGTGATAAGGGTAATAACTTTCTGAGAGCCACGCCTGGTGACATGTCAAGGGCACTACTTTGGGCACCAGAGAATCTTAGCCACGAAGCTCTCTGTGGCACAAAATCTACTAAACAGTAGATATTGCCTTCTCCATATCCATCAGGGAAAGCTGCCCAGCAGCCCTACACACTGGAAGAATCTCCAAGAGGAGAGCTGGGGAAGTACCTAATTTTATAGTAAACAGTCTTGTCTTGAGAACGGCATGAAAATGGGAGCCTGAGGAAAGGAAGCAGCATCCCTGCAGGGCCTGCAGTTGTGTCTCACATGCCAGGGCACCCTCATGGAGGGAGATGGGAGTAGAAATTAGGGGAAAGCTCTGGAGTGTCTTATCGCTCTTCAGGCAGTCACAACCCTGAAATATAAACGTGTCACAAAGAAGAAATGAAACAAATCCAAATCTGTGTCAGGAAATGATTTTGCAGGGCTCCCATTGTGTCAGAACTTATCAAGCAAAGCCTTCATTTCCAACCTGATCCAAAAATCACTGAAGCCAAGCGCAGCCTGTTCTCTGCTTCAGGAGACTTTGGAGCAGCCCTTTCTGAGCCACAGAGGGAACACATTTTGGAAAAGAAAAGAAACACATTATGTTAATTGTGCAAATGCATTTTCAGCATCCCTTAGAAATGGGGACATTTGCCTACAAGCTGACAAAGAGTATTTAGTTAATAGCTAAAATTCAAAAGAGATTTCATTAAAAATCGAATCATGCATGCAATAGCAGAGCAGTTTGGTCTTTTTGTTTCCCCTCAAGCATTTTGTGCTGCATAGAACACTTTTGAATTCATTTACTTTTGCAAAATTAATTGCCAGGTCAATTTTCAGTGGGAACAGAAGGTGAGAAATTCAGAAGGGAAATGTGAATCTGGCAGACAGCAGAGGACCTTTCCCACTTCAAGACCTGAGGTTTAGTTTTGATGCAACAGGTAGCTCAGAAAAATATACAAATTAAAGGCAACCTCCACAAAAGGACCGAGACACTGAAACTAAGATGACACTGAGCCAGAGATGAAAACTATCCCAGAGGTGAATTTCAAGCAGCTCTGAGCATTTTACAGCATCTCTCCTGCCGTGACTCTTGCCTACCGAGGCCAAGAGCGGTGGCTGCTGGGGTCACACCCCTGGCCTGGTGCCACACCTCAGGTGTCAGCTGAAGGACAGGAGGACAAGTCTGTGCATCCCAGCAGTAGCAGGAGGTGGCTGTCACACACCAGCCAGCACAGCTCCAACTCTGCCAGCACTGGTGATGTGTTGACATGAAAACAGGGTGGGTAAACACGCCCGTCTCAGCTGACCTACCTTCACCTGTGGCTCACCTTTGTGGTGAGAGATGTTCCCTCTCTGAGGGAGCATCTGGCCGCCTTGTCCTGATGCATCCTGGAAATATTCACAGCCAGGTGGGAGCAGAACACTTTTGGTGGTGAGGACATGTGGGTTCACCCCACAGAAACACTGGGCAGGGCTAAACCCGTGTGGGTTTTGCTTTCAAGGTTTTTCTTAAATGAAGTGAGACCAAATCAACCTCATAGCTTTGCAGAGCTGTACCCTGGTGTGTACAGTATTCATGTGGTATTCATGTGGGAAGCTTGTTATGTCCTTTCCTGTGGGTTTCAGCCATGTGGAAGGGAAAAGAGAGACAATTGTTAAATGCTCTCCATCCTACAAGGACTCCTGCCCCCATGCCTTGCCTTGTGCCTCGCCTAAGATGTCTGCCAAAACACAACAGGCCCCAGACAGGTCCCTTCCAACATGAGCTCCCAAAACCATGAATTACCACTGCAGAAGAGCATCAGCAACCTGCTCCCTGCAGAGCTCACCTCTTCCAGGTGATTTCCCTGCAGAGCTCACCTCTTCCTGCCTGATTTCATGTCTGATGTTTTCTCTAACAAGGGCATCATCACATCAAAGATAGGAGCAAGCCCAGCCAACAGCCTGGGAAAGAACAATAAAGTGTGCTGCTCATCAGAGAAGGACAACACCACATGCACTTTACAGGGTGGCTTTTCCAGCCAGGATTGCAGAAAAAATTCCTGCTCTCCAGCGAGCACAACTTTTTCTGTCAACCCTCCTGGTGTGCAGACAGAGCTATGCTCGCAGGAGGGCTCAGCTGCTGCTCTGCACATCTCAAGGAGGAGGTGCAATAGCCACCAGAGAAGAAAAAATAGCTTATCCAGAATCACTTTACATGATTGAGGCAGGGAGAGAGCTGTGCTCACAGGGAAAGAACAGCAGCAGACCTAAGGCTGCTGTTTTTTGGGATTCCACAGAGCTATTCCAAAAAAGCAGAAGTCAAGCCAGTGAACATGCAGAAAAAAATAGCCAAACTGGGAGACAAAGCCTCTGCTCCAATCCTCTGCTTCTTTCCAGCTATATTAAACTATCTTCACAGGACCAAAAAGAGACTCAAAAGACAGAAGCTGCTTGGAACCTTGTTGGGAAGGGCTGGCTCTGGAAGCCTGTCCTCCTTCCAGCTGCAGCATATCCTGGGGAGAAACCTTCAGGCTTAACCTTGAGGAGCCACCTCCTGGTATCCACCTCCCACTGAAGCTGTTTTGGTCAGAGCCCTGCTCTTTCTTCACCTGGCTGTGGCAGGAAAGTTCAAGGTGTCCTGGCAGCAGGAAGCTCCCTTGCTCCACCCTCTGCTCAGCACAGCAGCTCCCTGAGCTCATCGAGGGTTTGCTGCCCCAGACCTGCCAGCGACAGCGACCTGCTCTGTGCGACACCGACACCGGAGTGGGAGCGGGACCCTCGGCATGAAGCACCTCTGCTGTGAGCCCTGGGCAGCCCTCGCTGTGCTTTGCCTCACCGCTGCCCTCTGGGATTCCTGCTCAGCAGGTATTTCTCTTCTCTTATGCTCCAGGTTTGATACCCTGCCCTTTTCCCCGGCTCCTCTCAATACCTACGTGTATTGCCCACAGACAGTAATTAGTTCTTTAAAAATAACGGGGCACTCCTTCACTTCACCTAAAAAGTATAAAGAGCTGGAATTAATGAATGCTGATGAGAATTACTGGGCATGACAGATCACAGCATCACTGTAAAGGGCTGCTCTTTTGCCAGCTATTTACAGAACCACTGTAAATGTGACTGAGTTGCAGGTTACCCCACTGAACAGCAAGGAGAGAGGAGCCACAGTTACTTGGCCTATTTCTGCTTGCTGAGGCATAGGACCCCCGGCAATATCACCCATTAGGATCACTGTACTCTGATTTAACTTTCATTACAATCTTTTTGCAGAAAATGTGGCTTTGGTGCCACTTTAATTGTTGAAGTTGCCTGGAACCAAAATTAAATGTAAATGAGACCTGTGAGCTGCTCCTTTCCCACCAGGCTATTGTATATCAGCAGCAAATGAGACCTGTTAGCTGTTTAAAGATGGGCTGGCTTTGACAGCCTGTTCTTTGGGCTGCAAGATCTAAAAACACAAAGCAGCACTGGGCATTCTGCAGTATTTCCTTCCACAGGTCATACACAGGTTTTAATGATTCTTCCCAGTGCTTCTGTGAGGTATTTATTAACTGAGAAAACAAATTATAGGCTCAGCCAAGGTCATTCTGCAAATCCTATGAGAGTCAGACAGAAGAATGGGGAAAGAATGGGGAATACTCAGACCCTTCCCTGAAGCAGGTTGCCCAGGGGCCCACTCTGAGCATGGCAGAGGCCATAGGAAAGCTCTGGTATTGCTGATGATGGGTCAGCTCAAAACTAAGAGCTAAGCAACAGCAGGTGATCCCAAGGGGAACATGTCTCACAGGACAGCCTCAGTTTACTTGCTGTTACTTGGAAAACACCAAACTCAAAGCAAATCTTTGGTAAAATGTGTCTAATTCTGTTCTGCTTTCCTCAGCTGAAACGAAACCTGAGCTATTATTTTGCAGTCTTTGGTGAAATCAAGCTGGAGCTGATTTTCTCTGCTACATTCCAATTTACCAGCTCAGAGTGACAGCTTGACTGGAAATAGTTCTCTCATAGCTTCTGCCAGGTCTGTGGACCAGCAGCACATTAGGGCTTTCCCATGCAGCAGGAGTCCTCACTACTGGAGTCTCCCCAGGCCACTTTTCATCTGTGCAGGACATACTCTACCTGCCTGAACTTGAACTGTGCTGCTCATGGCAGCACAAGAAGAGATGTTTCTCTGACTCTCTTCCTTCTGCAGCAGGGGACAGACAGGTATTGATGCACAGGGACCAGTGCAGCCTGTGTTTTTACCCCTGCAGGCATCCTGCTGCTGCCCTGGTTTGATCCTGCAGTGCTGCAGGGAGCACGCTGAGGTGGTATTAGGAGGACTAAGGAGGGTTTGGCCTGTGACACCATGTGCACATTTGGAGAGCTGGACACCAGCTACAGAGTTGTGTCAGAGTCTGTGTGTGTGTGTGCTGATTCTGGGTAGGAAGCAGGATAAGGAGGCAAAACCCACATCAAAGCTCCAAGCCTCTCTCCCTCATGAGGAGATGTTTCTGGATGTTTTATTTTCCATCCTGAGCTGGTTAGCATGCTGGTATGAACTGGAGTACAGCCAGAGCAGTTTCAGATGCTCCGACCTGCAGCAAAGCCAAAGCTCCCCACTGGGGCCTTGGTGGACCTGCTGAGGCTCCCCAAAGGTGGGCTCAGCCCTCAGCTCTGCCAGATTCCTGTGCACCCTGGGATTTTTCTAAGGGCAAAAGGAGGCTGAGGTACAGCCTGCTGGCCATGGATCTCTCCATGCCACTGAATGTCTTTCCTTTCTGTGCCTGCTCATTGTGCCCCTGCAGCCTGGGCAAGGAGAGTGGTTAACTTGAGCTCTGAGAGAATGGCTGAGCCAGGCTCACACCAAGGCAGAGGTGCAATAATTCACCTGCTCCTGAGGGATGCTGCTAGAGCAGGTCTCTGAAGCTGGTGTTAAACAGTGGTGGGATAAGGAAGCATATCCTAATGCAGCAATGTTTAGGGGCAGGAACTTACTTTCTTCAAGTTGTTTCTGCCCCACAGTCCTCTACAAGGCCAATGGCTTTCAGATTTACCTGCTTAATGCCAAACATTGCTCTTCTAATCCAACTTACCTTTACTCCTTTGCTTTCCTTCTGGCAGCAGCTGAAGACACCTCCAATGTTTCAACAACTGACTACGAACCACCATGTCTTAGTAAGTCTTCATAAATCATTACTACCTGTTAAAGTTGGGTGATGAGTCTACACAGGGACTGAGGGGCTGTCCTGGAAATGGTTTTATCTCTTCTCAAGCCTTCCATTGTGGGTCAACCTCTAGGCTGCATTTCTAAGACTTCTCCACTGTCAGGGTATGATATCTTAGGTACATTGAGACAGACTCATAGCTTTGAACAGACTAATTGATAGCTAATTTGTGTCCTAAAGCTCCCTGTCAGACTGCCTGTAGGCATTATACGGGTTCCCAAGAACGCCTCTTTCCCCTGCCCTACCAGGTTCTTCCCAAACAGCCAGCCCCAAACAACCCGAGATCCCACCACTACTCCAGAGTCATCCACCAGGTAAAGAGCCAGGTTTAGGGGAAAGATGCCAAGGCAGAGTGATAGGGCAGAAGTCATCTGCCTTCTCTAGTAAAGGAAACCTGTCACGTACTTGGCCTCCCGTGAGCTCACTTCATTTCTCCTCCACCAGACGTGAACTTCTGCAGGCAAGCGGCCACGTGCTGCCCTTCGGGCATGGATGACTACGGGTGGATCGCAGCGGCCGTCGGCTGGAGCCTCTGGTTTCTGACCCTCATCCTGCTCTGCATGGACAAGATCCTGAAACTCCGGCCTGATGAACCCAAATACTTGGTGGCCTGAAGCACTGGGGAGCAGCGAGGCACAGGCAGACTGATAAAGCATTTCAAACACTTGCTAAGAAACAAAAAAGAAATGGAAAACACCTTCAGCCAAAGAAGGCCAGATCTAAGCAGGGCAGCTGCAGAGGCTTCACCCTCTTTGGCAGGCTGGAGCTGCCAGCCAAGGTGTGGAGCAGGCAAGTCTCTGCAAGTCACCACATATGTGCCATGGTGCAAAAACCCCCACTTCTCCCTGAGCCCTCTCACGAGCACAGCAGCAGCAGGAGAGGCTGAAGGACCAGTTAGTTACCAGCCTATAGCACATTGCCCCGAGACGACCTGGCGCATGACCTTTGGGTTTGACACAGAAAGTGGGCAAATAAAGCTTTTTTTCTGTAGCATCAACATTACCAGAGGCCTTACTAAGCTATAGGCCAGGTTAGATCACTAAGTGAAGTAATTGAAAGACTTTACTGAGTCTTTCTCACCAAATAACCTACAATATTTAAAAGTCTATTAACTGATTCATGGGAAGACTTTCTTATGGAAACTTAGGGATTGTTTGGGCTGGTTTGAAAGTAAAACTCATTTTTCCAGAGCCATTTAGATATGAACTGTGTTGCAGGAATTGAATGTTGGTTGTATTTATTCAGCTTCCACCTGCCTGAGAAACTAAGCCAAGCTGAACTGTGGCAAGCAGGTTTAAACCACCATATCCAATTCATGCACAAAATGTTTCCTATTTGTCGGAGATGATAATAAACACTCTTATTGATTGAAAGACTCTCACTGACTGGTTTATATGGATAAAACTTATAAATTGTTAGAAATAGGATTCCCAGAAGACATATTCATGCAGAAGGGTTTGCCTCACTGCAAACTGATTTGGTGCAGTTGCACCAGTTTTATTTCTGTTATTAAAACAATAAATCAGAATTAAACCCACCTAGATCTACACAAGGTTAGCAAACCTGCTAGAGATCAACTGAAATGAAACATAAAAAGTTACTTTTAAATTGAAAAAGCACCCATGGAGATCTTTATCTGCTAGAAATAATTATACTCTTCCATCAGCTCATCAGTATGTAACTTTATGAGTGAGAAATGACAGACATCAGTTTAAGACTCTTCCAACTGATTCTGGCACAATTAACACTTTGATTAGGACAATTTGGCCACTTGAAAGTGATGGGCAGTTGTCCCTCATCAACTAGCCTCCATCAAGAGGAACAGGGACAAGTTAAGACACTGAGGAAAGGAAATACATCCTTCCCTATCCCTACTATAACTTCAGACAAAAATCCTTTCAAGGTGAAATGCTGGACAGAGATGCCCATGTCAGGAAAGTCAGTTTTGAAAGGGAAGAGATTAATTCTCAGCATTTCAATATACAGGAATTAAAACAAAAGTAATATTCACACAACAAATCTCAGCATTGGAGACACTCAATTTCTTTCAACAAAAACCCAAACAACCAAGCAGAAAAACCAAGTCCCTCTCATTTATGTACAAACTTACAGAAACAAAAGGCTCTCAGTCAACACCAAAATGTAAAGAGAGTTGACAGTTAAACCACTGCATTCAGGTATCAAATCTTCTACCTACATACATACTTTTTCCCTGTTATATTAGTTTTAATAACAGAAAAGGTTCATTGGTCTGAAAGCAATGTGAAAGATACTGTGAAAAAAATCTCCATTTACTGCCTTCATGTGTACCTTCTGCAGATCTCTTCTGATGGGCATTTCTCTCTCAGTTGGAAACACAAGTGCCCGCTGGCTATGGCACTGCTCTTCATCTTTGAGGGGATGTGTTTCATAGCTTTTGCATGTCTTTGAGTTTTCAGCACGTGATGCAAGTTCGAGATGTCCTACGAGAGCAACAGCCACAGAGCTGCACAACAACTGGGCAACTGTGGGGCTTCCTAAAGGCTGCCTTTTGGAAGCACAGTTTGTTCATTCTTCACGCTCCCCAAAACAGTGCAGCTACCCTCAAGGATTGTAGTAGACTCAGGTTTTGCTTCTTGCAGTTTCCTTTCAGGATTCCCAGCTCAACCAAATAGGGGAGAAACGGAAAAAACCCTGTATTTTGTCATATAATGTAGTGCCCTCAAGGATTTTGTGAGCCTGCGTTCAGAGGTGATACCCAAGTCACCACAAAATCAGGTATAAAAATGGAGTACACCTCATGATAAATTTCTGCTGTAAAATGTATACTTTTTCTAGATCAGTGACCTGTAAACCTCTGATCTAATATGACAGGGATGTTTCTTCCTGCATCACCTACTCCAACATCTGATATTGTCAGGTTTGATCTACAGCTGATTCTTTTCAAGTCATTTGATGAAGTCACTCAGAAAAACTCAGTCCTGTAATGAATCTCATAAAGGCACTGCTGTTCACTGTTGTGTCTGGGATCCCTAAACAAGGTATCTGTGGCAGAGCTCCACAGGCTCCAAGGCTATCAATGTAAACATCTTATCTGTTTCTACATAATACAAGGCCAAACCCCAAAGCAGTATTTTAAAGGGACTCTGAGGTACAAACTGTGTGCTGTACTGATCCTATGGGCAATCACAAGTACAGTGAAAGACAACCCACACAGCAAAAAGAGAAAAGCCCTAATGTTGTTACCAGTGTTCCAGGGGCTTGGCCAGTTACAGAAAATACTGATTTAAAAATTTGCATCTGAAAGATTTGAGTAATTGATATAAGGACAGAAATTAGTAGGCAGAAATGGATTATACATACTCAATTTCTAAAATATAATCTGTAGTCTCTTGTTACATTTCCTGGAATAATTTTAGCCAGGGAACACATAGGAGCACTGGTTGTGGGTTACAACCCCTCATTTAAGAGCAATCGAGTAAAAGTTGAGGCTGTGGTCTGGTTTTGATGCACAAATTAAACATACAAATGCATAGGTTAAATATGCATGACTGTATAGTACAATGCCTTATAAAAGTGGTCCATGAGCAGAGCTGCAGACTGATGTTCTCATTCATTGTGTATCATTTCATGCTCTTAATAATATCACTCACATTTTAATACCTCTCATTGTACAGCCCAACCAGTGCAAGGGTGTCCAACCCCTGCTGACTTCAAGGGAGCTACACAAACATCCAACAAATGCCTTGTTTTGTTCTTTGGGGTTTTTTTTCACTGTAATTCAGGAAGCCTGTCATTTTTGTTCCCACAGCAAACCTTGGAGGCAAAGCATAACCACTGATTTATCAGCATTCATAAATCCTTTTTGTGTTAAAGCTGGGTGCCATCAGACTGCTACATTAGACTGCTACATACAACCTCATGGCACTGAGCTGGTGTAGGCACTTGCACATCCCTAAACATCTAAAAAGTGAGGTGATAGCTCCAGATGATGATGAAATGTTAATGCTTCAGTCATTCATACTTATTGTCTGTCCAGGACCAAAAAGTTCCTCACTGGAATAAGATGGAGAAAAAAAAAAAAAATCTATCCCAGCTCTTATGATTTAGTACAAAGAAAACCAAGAAAATTGTTGAAACCTGGATGGCTGGAAAACAAAGGTGTGAATAAAATTCACAAATTTGAACCACAGCACCTGCTGACCATATCAGCAGAGTTCTTCCTATTTTCTGCACCAAGTTTCTGAATCTGAGGCATGAAGATATGTAGTGCCTGGAAAGGGAAGGGAGATGCAGATGGCACCTGGGAAAGCTGCTGGTCTGCAAGTGTTTCAGACAGACAAACAGGAGACATGTAGCAGCACTTTTAACAACCAAGGAGAAAAGCAGCAGCACAGCATTGAAGGTAACTGCTTTAATTTGCCTGGAGATAATATCAATCACATCCAACTAGTGATTTTTAAACAATTCTGAATTTGAGACTAAATGGATTGGAACTTGATGCATGACTCTTCCTCTTTTCAGATACCACTGCTCTGGTAATGACTCACATTACTCACTGCCTCGATCCTTGGGGTTTTGGTGAATGAGCTACATATTAAGCAATTGCACTTTACAATGACTACATTTTGCCAAATCACTAGAGGAATGAAAACTGGCAAGCATCTGGGCTCCCTGCCCACATGACACACACAGACAAGACAGAGGTTAAATTCATAAGAAAAGGTGCTCTGTGCTAGGACTCTGTAGGAATTTTGATAAAAGTCATTACAAAAACAAGGATTTCAAAAGCTTACTTTCATTAAATACTGCCAAGGAATGGAATATAGGCATTCTTGGGAAGCAACCACCCTCTCTTATCCCTACACTCCAGATTCTGCTTATTTTGTGGCATCTGTGGTAAAATTCAAAACTCACTGCAGGTTTCTGTCCCAGAATCAAACATGTTCAATGAGCTAATTTCCAACTCCTAGTTTGCAATAACCATCCAGAAATAAACTACATAAACAATGCATAATTGTCTCCCATGTCTGAAAACTGCTTGGGAAAAAAAAAACAACAAAAAAAAAACAACCACCAAAAAACAGCTGTAAGAGACTTGTGACTTTTCCTGTCCAATTTGACATTATGACCTTGACAGTGTGCCTTCTGGAGCAAAAATTAAAGTACTTCTTCAGGTTTTCCACAGCTCTGTCTGCTTTGTCTAAATGGGAGAAGCCCCACCTCTACCAGACTCTTCCCCCTTCATGGTGTTTCAACACATTGTGCATATAAGTCAGATCAGTTCAAAAATATGCAAGTTTCAATGTTGCAACCCTCTGGGCTCAAATACATGAAGAGAACACCGTGCTTTAGCTGAGCAATGCTAACATCCTATACAGATGTGACAACATTAGCTAAGAGAGGTCAGCTCCTCCTTGAAAAGACTAAATAATGCCCATGGGCACTAGTGTTGAGTGCTCTTTCAGCTGCAGGAAAGGGCACTCCCTGGCAGAGCAAGATTATTGCAGGCAGTGTTATGTCAGTGATGCTGTCTGCTGGAAGTGACAAAAAACTTCTTGTAACTTCACTGCAGTTCTACTCTGCAATAACAAGAGCACCGTTCCCAGCAAATTTTCTTCCACACAGCAGTGGAGTGCAGGAGAATGTAGCAGTAATGTAAATAGGTGGCTGCACATCTACAAATCTTCAAAACAGGAGACTCCTGCACCATCATCTAGCCCCAAGACAGAAATAATCATCAGGATCAAAATCATCCATGGAAATTGTCCAGGAGTGTTCCATGCAAAATACAAAGCAACTTACCTGAAACCCTTTTATCCAGGACTGCATGGACACAAATCCAGCGATCAGTTCAGATGCTTGTGGATGCTCAGATCACCTGTACTGCACTGAATTGGAACTATTTAATATTTGGTGACTATGCTGAATTACTACTGGCAGTACCAAATCCACAATTCTTTCTCCTATTTCCATAAGTCAAAGGATAAAAGCTTTCTGCTTTTTTATCATAATGTATTTTTAAAATTTTTATTTCTTTAGTCAAATTTCTTTCAGATCTGTGTTACAGGATGAAAAGAGTGCTGTGCATTGCCAAATATAATACAGCATTAATTCTCCTTGATTACAAAAAAGTTGTTCCTGAAACACAAACAATATGCAGCTACTGCTTTTAAATCATGCACAGCACTAAAATGTTCCAAGAGCCTGGATGAGGAAACCGACTTCCAAGAAGCCTTGGGATGGAAATATTTGAGAACTCTTCCTGGGAACACTATAGAACTCTTAAGAAGTGTGTACATTTGAATATATCTGCAAATGTAAACCAATAAATTTCATCTTTCAACTCTTTAGTTCTCATTTCATTTCACCTGCTCTACACATGGTTATAAGAGGATTTCTGCAAGTGAACCTGAAAGCCACCATGTCAGGGATCCAAGGTCGTTTAGAGTTAAGTTTCAAAAGATTTTTCAGAGCATTTGTTTAAATGTGCCGATACTTTATTCCAGTTTGGATGTAATAGCCTAAACACAAACTTCCAGTTATGGAGTAAGAACTACTCAAAACTAAACAGGAGTGGCCATTAATAAGGAAAAAATTATTTAATATCTAAAAGGTACCAAGAAAAAACACAAAATCAAGACAAATCATTCCATCTCTACAAACTATGAAGTGCAAGGAAATCTGTATTTTCCTAATACTAATGT